TTTTTTTTTTTTTTTTTTTTTTTTTAATATTTACATAAAAGCAGTGAAGTAAAAATCGCTAGGCAGGATGATAAAAGTTTTCACCAGAAAACTTGGGTGTCTTGTTCACTTAAATGTAAGACCTTCACTAGGTCCTAAATAAAATAGTAACACAAAATGAAAATAGATTTCAGATAACTTCTTCGAGAGGCAAACTTGCCACTCCGTTTTGGAGCATCATCCGCTTGGAATAACTTGGAATAAACCTGTATGTATTTAGTGTATGTTGATAATTGCTCATGCGCTTTTGGATATTTACAAATCTATAGCTTTTATAGATAAATATTAATCATGGCGTCAAAATTCAAACTTTAACCACTAATTTTTATTTTTTTATAATTTACACCTGAAAAATAAATATGTCTCATTAATTTATAAATGTAAATACTTACTAACCTTACACTTGTTCATTCTCGTTTGACGTTTCAGATTATCAACATAAAATAACTTTAATTTTGATTTAAAAAATTATTTTAATAAAAATTACAACAAATTTAAATATAAAAAATAATTTAACATTGTAATTAAAAATGTTTATTTTTTTTTTATTTATTAACAATATTAATATTAATATATGTAATAAAAAAAAACTAGAGATTAGAGAGGATCGATTTAATTTTTTTTTATCTCATATTTTAAAAATGGCGTGATCTAAGTCGTCGCGGTGACAACAACAACTCTGTTGTTATGAATATATTTAACTGAAAATTATTAATTTTAATGATAAATATATTGTTACTTTAATAAAAATGAACCAAGTGAAACATAAAATATGGTAAATAATTTGTGTTGGTAATTTAAAGTTTTTTATTTATATTTTTTACTCTTAACCACTATCAAAGATTTTTTTCAATTTAAATTATTTAAATAAATTGTGGTAATTTATAAAATTTATATATTAATTACTTTGTATATTTTTTCAGTATGGTATCCGATTTTTTTTATCCTAATATGGGAGGCGTTGAAGAACATATATTTAATTTATCACAGTGTTTACTTGGTCGTGGACATAAAGTTGTGGTGATGACACATTCCTATGGAGATAGAGTTGGCATTCGTTATATGACCAACGGTCTCAAGGTATTTTATAAAAATTTTTATTAAAAATAAAATTTGACATGCAGAAAATCTTAAAAATTCTAAGTGTAATTTTTAAAAAATTTATTTATAATTTTTATTGATTAAAAAATCAAAAATTGCTAAATGTCTGCTAATTTATGGAAATTAATTCAGCATATAATCAATATTTTTAAGAATTTTATAACAAATAAATTATGGCAAAAAAAAAAAAAAGACATGTAGAAATTTTGAAAAATTAAAAATGCAATTTTTTTAAAATAATTTTTTGGAGCAGATTTGTTTGCCAAATAAAATTAAAAAATGACTGCTAACTTTAACGTCATGCTGATTTTAGTATGATGGAATTTTTTTTTTTTTAATGATACTTAAAATAAAAAAATTTATTGTTTTTTCTAGGTTTACTATTTGCCAATAAAAGTATTTTATAACCAATGCGTTCTTCCAACAATGATATGCTCACTTCCATTGATAAGATATATATTTATAAGAGAACAAATTGAAATAATCCACGGACATTCAGCATTTTCAGCTTTAGCACACGAAGGAATGCTTATTGGAAGACTTTTAGGCTTAAAAGTAAGTTAATTTATTTTAATAATTTTTATTTGTGTATTTTATTAATTCAATAATCATGAATGGATTTATGATGGAACGTTATAGCTAAAGTCATTTAATAATTGTTCATTACATTTTGTTTAATATTGTTTTACACTATTGTGTAAAAATTTTGTATTTATTTTGGAGGGCCGCAAGGAGTCTTGACTCCATGGCCTTGATAAATAAATAAATAAATAAATAAATAAATAAATAATAATAATAAGCGATTCTTCAACTTGTAGACAGTATTTACGGATCACTCCCTATTTGGTTTTGCTGATACTTCAGCGGTGTTGACAAATAAATGTCTTCAAATATCACTGGCTGACTGCAATCATTGTATTTGTGTATCACACACTGGAAAAGAGAACACTGTCCTACGTGCCAAAGTTCACAAGGATCGGGTTTCAGTAATTCCAAATGCCGTCGACACGGCACTTTTTACTCCAGACATCAGCAAGAGGAAAAGTAATTGCAGTAAGTTGCATCATTCTTGTAAATAACAATAAAAATTACCAGCAAGGCTTTGTAATTTAAAGGATTAATTTTATTTTTTTATTTCTAGTTACAATAGTCGTGGTATCTAGGCTGGTTTATCGCAAAGGTGTTGACTTATTGGCACAGATAATACCTAGAATTTGTTCGCGGCATCAAGACGTGCAATTTTTAATTGGAGGTGATGGTCCTAAACGCTGGCTTGTCGAAGAGATAAGAGAACGTAATTTATTGCAGCATCGAGTTACTTTGCTAGGAAGCTTAGAACACTCTCAAGTGCGTCATGTTTTAAATAAAGGACATATTTTTTTAAATACTAGTCTTACTGAGGCTTATTGTATGGCAATCGTTGAAGCTGCTTCGTGTGGGTAGGTATTTTTTTTTTTTTTTTTTGTATATAATTTAAATAATTTAATAAATTTTATTTAATGAAGGTTGCAAGTTGTATCAACAAAAGTCGGCGGAATACCAGAAGTATTACCGCCAGAATTAATTTATCTAGTCGAACCAAAGGTAGACGCTCTTGTGGAGGCTCTGGAACAAGCTATCGCTGACTACAGAACTGGCAATATAATTTGCCCTTATCAAGTACACGATAAAATTGTTTCTATTTATAATTGGTTCAATATTACCAAGAGAACAGAGATTATTTACGACTCAGTTCAGCAGGAGAGCAAAAAGACTATTGGCGAACAGTTGGCTAATTATTTATCTAGTGGAGTACTGCCATATTTACTGATGGTCTCATTATGTTATATCGCGTTGCAAATATTAGAATACATTGTACCGAGAAAGGTAAGAAAAAAATAGGTAAATATTTACAAGTCGGGTCAAGTATTTTAATTTTAATTTTTTTGAACGAAATTTCTGTTTGATTTTTTTTGAAAAATATGAACATAAAAAAAATGAACAATTAAAAAAAAAAAGTAATTATTACATTTATGAATTTTTTAGAAAATTGTGATATTCAACTTTTTTTTTTTAATTGATCGTTTTTTTATGTACTTTTTAAAAAAATTTTTATAAAAAAAAAAAAAAAAAAAAAAAAAAATGAAATAGAAATTTTATCCAAAAAAATGAGTCAAAATTTTTTCACTTGTAAATAATTACTAAAAAATATATTAATTTATTTTATACTGATTTTCATTATTAATTTTTCAGTACATCGATATAGCGACCGATTACAACCAACCCGAGCCAAGTCTAAAGAATAAAAAAAATAGAACTACTTAATGATTATTAATTATTATATTAGCAAATTTTAGGAAATTGTACATTGTTAATTTTTTTTAGGCAAATCAACGGATCGAGCGTTTGTAATGATGTATATACTTAATGATTGAATTGTAATATTTTTTTTTTACAAAAATTATTGCGATTGTTAGTTATTAATGATGCCATAAATGAACTTCTGATGAGTTTATCAACTGTTAAATACGCGACAAATTTTATACGTTAAAATAAGACAATACTTAAGAGTCTATTTAAAGATTTATCTGATTGAATTATTAGTAAAATTATTGGAAATTTTCGATTTTTAATAGGTGACGAGAAGAGAATATTAATTGTTAATCTAATACTGATCGTATTTTATTTACAGAAAAAATTAATGAGAAATAGAAATGTATACAATAATTATTATTATTAATTGATTCAGTATAATAGTGATGAATTAAACTAATTAATTTAATTTATATACAATGGATATCTTAACTCTAATAATTATAATTAAAATTATAATCAATGTATTTTTTTCTCTCCATTTTTTTTTTATAATTCAGCGCAACTTTAATATTAAATTATTTACCAAAGATGTAATTATAATCACTGATAATATTTGTATATAATTTATATTCATTTATAAAATTAATACTTTTTTGTATTTAAATAATTTATCAGCTTGTACGTACAATTAAGCTTAAAAATATAAGTTTGAATAATTAAAATTTTGTAATAACGATTTATCTTAATATCTTAATAATTAATAATTGAATAATAATGTGAAGAATATCATGCAGTATAAAATGTTGAAAAAATAAAATTTATGCGTCTCTATGTGCCTCGAAAATGTTAACAAAATTGTAAAGAAATAAAAATTTTATTAATAAATAATTCGATCAATTGAAAATATAATTACTTTTATTTTTTATCAATGTACGTTTTAATACAATAGTAGTCATACTGAATATCAACCAGCTGAATTATTTATTGTACATTTATTTTAATTAATATTAATAAAACTTTCATTTAATTTCCCTGTAATAAAAACAAAGAATCATTTAAAAAAATTTTATGACAGTTAAAATATTTTTTATAATTTTTAATAATTGAGATTTAATTAACTATACTGAACTATTTGAGCACTAAGATATTACTTTTATTTTTTAGAGTAATAAACAAGTAGAAAAAATCTAAATAAAATTTATTAACCAGTTAGTTAAATCCTTAATAATTTTTTTTTTAGTAAAAAAAATTTTAATTACATTTTTATTAAAGTTGAACTGAAGCTAATTATTTTAAAATGCTAAAAAAAAAATAGAATATAAAAATATATCTGAATAATATTAAGGGGAAAAGAATAAAGGTATAAATAATAACTGTAATTAATAAATTGTTTGCTTTGTAATTTTGTATTTATCAAATTACCGAATTAATAATTGTGTTGGGTCCCTGCTGAAATAAGATGTCCATTGTTTAATTAAGAACAATGTCACAAAATATTCTTACGTTCACTTATATGTATTTATAAATAATTTTGTGAACAATTTAAAATTATAAATTTGGTTTAATTTTAAAATTAATTCAATAATAAACGGGCCAAAAAATATAATAGGCAATTGTGAATAAAAAGAAAAGAACAATTAATATAACTTTAAACTGTGAAACGTTTTTTTTTTCTTTTCATTAACAATGAGAAATACATATTCATATTATTATTATTATTATTATTATTATTTAAGATCCTTATTCTTAAATTATATTTACATACATTTCATTCAATTATCATGCTTCCTCTTTATTTAAAACCACGCAACAATTTTTAACGTACGTAAGAATATATTTATATTTATATTTATATTTAATATAAATATTATTGCTAAACGCACAGTGTTTAATTATTGCGATATCTGGTAATATTATTAAAGATCCGTGACAATTATTATCAAGTATTTTGGGAATTCACTTGCTGTTGATATATATATATATATATATAATGAAAAATATATAAATAGCGAACCAATTGTTATAATTCAATTCGATAAATTAAGTGAATTCCAAATCTTTCTCTCCTCATAAATAATATTGTTTCAATTACTCGTTTGTTTTTGTCTTGTTGTTGATTTTCATTTTTTATTATTGTTATTATTATTTACGTTTAAGAGCAAAGTAAAAAGATTCAGACGCCTTCTCCGTAATCACGGTCCCCAACATTAATACGATCGGTAGCAGCGGTTACACTGAAGCCAAGGATTCTGTTATCAACTTTGAACATTTTTCCTTTTTTTGGTTTCTTTGATTTGCCCTAAAAGCAAATAAAATATTTAATAAATATTTTTGTTAATTAAATTTTTAATATTAATTTAAAAAATAGTAAAATTTACCTTAACTTCTTGAAATTCAGTAGGAGCATTTGGATTAACAGCCGGAGCTGGCTTACAAAGATCATCGGCTTCGGTTTGTGGTCGTTGTGATGATCGCCACTTGCTACGTTTTTCTAAAAATTGTTTTGCGAATTCTGTACACTGTTTATTATCACCCAAATACAATTTAATATACTCTTTAACTTCGTATGCTGATTCGATGTCTCTTAAAAATCCAACAAACGTAGGAACTAAAAAAAAAAATTATAAATTATAAAACATTTAACATAAACAATAAATATTTATAATTTTTTAAACTATAGTTTATCAATTTTTCATATATTTATATATATTACATGTATGTATATATGAAAAATATATCAAAAATGCATGTGGGTTCTCAAATGAAAGCTCTCGATGAATGTAACATCGGGATGAGCTTATATCTTTAAAAACGTCAATATTTAAGAAAGTACAGTGCAATTTAACAAAATTCATTATTTAATAAAGCAAAATTGTTTTTATTTATAGTTCACAAATCACGGCAGTCACATAGTGACTGCAAGGTTGCTATATATAAAAACAAAAATAATAATTACCATCCACGGATACTTGAAGTCCAGACAATGTACGATTACACCACTGAGTAAAGTCATCCGTCTTGGCAGTGTTATTCTCGAAAAGTTTTTTCACAGTCTCTTCTTCCTTCTTAGCCTTGTTTTTAGTTGTTTTATTATTTTGCTGTTGTTGTTGCTGTTGCTGCTGCTGCTGCTGTTGTTGTTGTTGTTGTTGTTGTTGCTGATGCTGTTGTTGCTGATGCGACTGTTGCTGCTGATTTTGATTGGAAGTCTTGTTGACAGTCGTTGAATTTTTAGCAGGCTGTTTAACCGGCGCAGCAGGTTTAACTTGAACAGGCTCATCCCAAAAACCACTACCAGTCCAAGTTTTGGAGCCAAATTTAAAGGCATCACCAACTGAATTGACATTGGTAGTCCAATTGAGAGACTGGGATGCACTGCCCCAGATACCAGCATTTTGCATAACAACTGCAGCTTCTTTTTGGCTAGTTTTTTCACTGCGTTCTTTTTCCTGCTGTTTAACTTTAACAATTCGTTCCTGCTCTTCTTGCTGAATTTGCGCCAAACTTTTAACCGGCTGACTAATAGTAGGAGCAGCTTTCTCAGCCCACTTGAAAGTTAGTCGTTTGTTAGATTCCGCAGCAGCTGCTGCTTCTTCAGCGACTTTAAGGGCTTTTTGCTGAGCTAGCTGTTGCTGCATTAATTGTTGAAGACGTAACTCCTCGGCTTTCTTTTCACGCTCTAGCCGCTGAATCTCAGCCAAAGAAGCATGAGTTGTCGGAGGAGGTGCGTGTGGAGCCTGTGCCCAAGGAGCTTTACTTTTTTCTTGAAGTTTTCTTAAAGCCTCAGCTTCCCGGCGCCGCTGTTCATTCCGTCTTGCTTGTTCTTCGGCCTCAGCTTTTTTACGAGCTTCTTCTTCTTCTTCTCTTCTAAGTCTCTCCTCCTCGAGACGTTTCTGCTCCTCTTCAGCCTTCTTACGTTTTTCTTCTTCCTTTCTCAACTTTTCTTCCTGTCTTTTGGCTTCCTCTCGCTTCTTTTTCTCCTCTTCCTGCTTCTTTTTATTATTTTCTTCATCCAGCTTGCGCTTTTCTTCCCGCTTTCTCTCTTCTTCCTTTCGTTTTTTATCCTCTTTCTTTTTTAATTCCTCCTCAATCTTGCGCTTTTCTTCCATCTTTAGTCTTTTTTCTTCTTCCTTTCGCTTTCGTTCCTCTTCTTTGCGCTGTGCTTCTGCTAATTTTTTATTTTGTTCTTCTTCGAGTTTTCGTTTGTTACTCGCGTCTTCAGCTTGCCGTTTCAATTCTTCTTGCTTACGAAGTTCTTCCTTTCGTTCTTGTATCCTAATATTTTGCTCTTCCTATTTAAAAAAAAAATCAATCAATAAAATAAATATTTTTTTCTTTAAACATTAAATTTTAATCTTTAAAAAATACGTACTAATATCTGTTGTTCAGTCTTAATGTCTTTAGTATGTAAATCCCACAATGAATTAGGCATTTGGCCTGGAGGCATTGCAGGCAATGGTCCGACCTGAAAACCAATTATTAAAAATTATTTATTAATTAATTAACTGGTTAACCTACATTGTATGTCTAGATACATAATTAAGAAATGACCTTTTATCTTGTGAAATATTGACATTTTTAACGATATAAGCTCATCCCGATGTTACACTCATCAAGACCTTTCATTTGAGTACCCACATCAATTTTTCATATTTTTTATACATATTATATATATATATGTATATATGAAAAATATATCAAAATGCATGTGGGTACTCAAATGAAAGCTTTTGATGAATGTAACATCAGGATGAGCTTATAACTTTAAAAATGTCAATATTTAAGAAAGTACAGTCCAATTTAACAAAAGTAATTATTCAATAAAACAAAATTTTAATTTGTTGCTAGTAATAAAATAAAAATAATAAAAAGAAATTAACCTGAGCCAACCAATTTTGGGCATTGAACTGAGGGTTAATTTGTGGAGGTGGTTGCGGCCAGATAGAATCCATTTGATGCGATTGTGAATGTCCATTGGCATTAATATGAAGTTGCCGTAATAATGACTTAATAGGATCTTCTTCAGGAGTCGATTGTTGTTGCTGTGGTTGTTGTTGTTGTTGTTGTTGTTGCATCGGCGAGGGATTAATACTAGGTTGCGGTCCAGGTAAATTTTGAATACCACCCATCTGCTGTATAAGCTGTTGAATAGGATCCAAAGCTGGATTATGAACTGGTGGTGGTACCGAATGAGAATTTGACGGTAAGTGACTGACGGTATCACTTTGGACCTTAGCCTGTTGCATTTGATTGAACAATTGCATAACTGGATTAGTTGCTGGGGGTGGAGGAGCAGCAAGTGGCGTCACAAAGGGATTTGTCGCTAATGATAAATCTCTGACCTCGGAATTTTGCATAACACACTGCATAACTAATTGATTTTGCTCAATAGGAGACAAACCAGACCAACTATCAGACTGTGAAAGTTTAGCAATTGCCGAATTTTTCATTTGTCGTAAGAGTAATTGCTGATTTTGGATCATTTGCAATTGCTGATACTGTAGCATTAACAGCGGGTCTTCTATTCCTGATTTGGGTAAGGCACTGCCAGGTAGTCCTGTGGGTACTGGAGGTGGTATGGTCGATATCACCGGCTCCGATAGCTTCAACGGTGGGATCGGTGGACCCGGTGTGAATGGCACTCTACCACAGATTTTCATGAGATCTCCAAGAGTTGCGTATCTCTCGTCGCATGTTCTTCTTACCAATAAATTAGGCGTAAAATAACCAGCTTTACACCATTCAGCCATCTCACTAGCAATAAATGGTCCTTGGACCTCACCCTGAGGATCTCGGTAGTACCATTTTTCCTGTGAACTGGCATTGGCTAACGGTGGAACGTGATTAACCGCCGATGGAAGCACATGACCCGTTTCTTCACGGTGGCTCTCCTCATCAGCCATAAGCTTCGCCACTAAACTCTGCATGTCAGCTTCTTCTTTAAATCTCTCCAAATCATCATCAAGTTTCTGCGGAGCCATAGCTCGTTGAGGAGCTGATATCGTAGCTGTTGTAGAAGCAATTGTTACAGAAGTATTTTTAATATTTTCTTGCCGTAAATCACTTTTTTGAATCGAGGCGTTGTTGGATCGAGAAACTGGATTTGTCTGCTGAGAATTAATAGGATGATTATTATTACTGCTACTATTATTTTTACTCGGTAATTCTACGAAAGACTTTGAGCGTTGTGGAAGCTGAACTCTCTCCGACTCAGAATTTATTTTCGTTGGATTAATAGCGACGTTTGACACTTTTTTACCAGCTGCATTATTTAACGATGACATTGTTGTAGATTTAGATAATGGACTGTTGGTATTGTTACTGGATACAACCGATTGTTTTGAAGGCGAGTCAGTACGACCTTCGCCAGAATTATCTTTTTCGAAGGGATGAAGAGATTTAGGTCTCTCTCTTGATACCGTATGGCTTACAGAATCATTAATCATTTGCCGATGAGCATTCTGATTGATATTATTGCTATAGGACATCGATTTATTAGATTTAATGTTTGTACTGTTGGTGCCTTCGGATACACGTCGGGTACGATTACTCGAGTTATTACCACCTGTACCATCATCGTCGTCGTCAGAAAACATCCCACCGTGAAAGGCACCCGAGGCATCAAAACTTCCCCCACTCTCTGCGGGATTCTCGGTTGCCCTAATTAAAAAAAATGAAAAATTGTAATGGTTATTAATACGCCACAGGGAAATTAACTTAATTTAATAATAAACTTACAAAATATTTTATAAAAGAATAAATAAATTGTAATAAAAAAAAAAATAAAAAAATAAATTAATGTATAATATTTAAATAATAATCACCATTCTGGTAAATTGTCATGGTTATCATGATGATTAGAATCCCAAGTTCGAGCAGTACGGGTAGGAGGAGGATGATGATGATGATGAGCCGAGTCATGAGAGGATCTATGACTTGGTCGAGCTTCCCAGCGTCCACTGATCCGATTATCATCCCCATCAGCATCCACTCTATCCAATCTATCTCTGTCCGAGCCACCCCCATCGCGCCAACTGCTCCGTACTAAAACATCAAAAAATTGCCATGTAATTTATTTATTTATTTATTTATTTAAAAAAAAAAAAATACTAGATAATTTAAAGAATGAACTTACTCCACTTTTCACTGCGAGTGTTGTTAGATCTCCATCCGTCCTCGTCATCGCCAGCACCCCGATGCCGTCTCCAATTACTTTCCATCAGAGAACTCCCACTGGGACCGCGACTAAGCTCCTTACGGGGACTGGTCGAGCCGTTCCAGTCATTTGCGTCAATATTACCGTTCCGCTCGGACCAACCCCGCTCACTTTGTGACCTGTCAAAATTACGGTTTCTTCCTGGATAAGACTGTGCGTCGAGTCTACTCCCACCCTCTCCGGAGTCGTCAAAACCACGTGAAAAATGAGACGTATAAATTCCTCCACGTCCAGTTCTAATACGTCCTCCACGATCAACACTTCCACCACGTCCACGTCCTCCAGCAGTGTTACCTAATCCACTGCTTCGTAAACGCTGAAAAATTAGAAAAAAAATTGACATAGAAATTTAAAAAAAGTAAAAATGCAATTTTTCAAAAACCATTTTTTGGAACAAATTTATTTGTTAAATAAACTTAAAAAATTGTGAAATGACTGCTAACTTTAATGTCACTTCTTTGTATTAAATATACCTCTATTTTATTACAATTAAAAATTAAATTTAATTGTAAACCTCTAATTAATTAATTAATTTTTTTAATGAGTTATATTATAAAAAAGCAAACTAATGCATTAAATACTGATGGCTCTGAGGGAGCTTAGGTTCCAGAGTCAAATAAAATTTTCTATCTATCTATCTATCTGCATATATTTAAAACAATAACGATATTTACAGATATATGTGTATCAATAAAATGAGAATAAAATTAGTAATGCTAACAAGTCTGGCACAGGAGTGCTAAAATAGTATTATTTATAGATCAAAACTATCTATGACACACTTTCTACTATAAAACGCAACGCGATTATAATAATACATCCAATAGTTGTTGTATAACATTGTACAATTAACAGACAGCTAGCACGTGTTCTCATCGCCGATGAGACTCGTGGCTCGAGGTATAAACAAAAAAAAATCTTTTATTAATTAATTAGTTACCGTTTCATCTTCTGTTTCTGGTATAAACGCTAGTGGTAGTTGAGTCTTTTCAACGTAGAACATTTGCTGACCGATTATACTCTCCGGTGGCTTGCAATTACGGTCGAAGAGAGCCAACATCTCTTCCCGGCCGTATCTATGCTCCGCTAACTGATACCGGGGTGTAATCAGGTTTGCCGTCCCTCCACCGCTTCCTCCCGAATTGCAACTGTCTCCAGCCAGATTGCGCAACCTATAACAATTCCATTTTATTGTTTATGTAAACATAAATATTATTATACACTATATTTATTTTTATTTCTCAATCAACAATATTTTGCATTGTTGTTTTATACCAACAGTACTCTTTTTTATGATAATTAAGTTAGCCGACACCTAAAAATTTATTAATTAAAAATTAGAACTAAAAGAGTATTTTTAAAAAATTCCACGTATAATTTTTGAAATTTTCTATATGTGAAAATTTTTTTCAATTTTTTAAAAATCATTTTTCAATAAAATAAATTATAAAAATTTTTAAATGTCTGCTAATTTAATTTTCATTTTTTATTAATTAAGATTTTCTTTTAATAATTAAATTAGAACAAAAAAATTATTTTTTATTTAAAAATTGCACTTACAGTTTTTTAAGTTTTTAATAAATGGCAATTTTTTTTTGTAGTAATTTTTTCAATAAAAAAAAAACATTTTAATTTTTAAATGTCGGCTAACCTAATTTTCATTTTTTTATTTATTAAAATTATTATTTATTTTAATTTACTCACCACTCAGGACCGAATTTCATGGAGTCCGTCATTCTGCACTATCTGTTGATAAAAATAAAACTTTTAGAATTTTTAAGTTAAGTACAATTGAATCAACAAGTAAAAAAAAAAAACAGTAAAATTCTAAAGGCACGTTTATTGATAATTCACAAATTGTGCGACTTATTATATAAATAATGTAAAATAAAATAAATGTATATACTTTTATTCTCAAGTACACGATGCAATGAAAGTTATTGAAGCAAATAAAAAAAAGTTCTACGTAATGAAGTTTTAATGACGAATTAAATTTATTTTTTTTTTTTTAACTGAGTCTAGAAAAATCATGAAAACAAAAATTCTTGGAAAACAATGGATAAAAAAAATATTAATGAGTACTAATAAATTTGATGTAATACACTAACACAAATGCCCATAATAATAATAATAATAATAATTATAATTATTATTATTATTAATTAGATAGATAGACAAAATGTGAACTATTCATGTGAACGTAAAACGAGATAAAGGAATGCGGATAGTGTCCAACAGACGGTAGACAAAGTAGCAATAAAATAATATTTAACAAATACTGTAATTGTTATTTAACACAATTGAAACAACAACAATTAGTTAAATAATTTAGATAATTAAATAAAACAATGGAATTATTATTACAATTGAAGATAGATCAGTCTTTTCTTTATTTACGACACACGTTTTTTTTAACGGGACTTTGAGTATAGCTCTCACTGACCAAAGACTGACGATATTAACCAAACATTTAGCATACGCGTTTGTCATTAATTATCAATCCAAGGCCTTAATTGATGACTTGTATTTTTATTCAGTATTATTTATTATTTTATTTAGATACCCTTCACCATTAAACATTATTCTAATTTATAAAATACCTTATTTAACTTGAGAAATTACTGAGCGAACAATACAACACACCAATATGGCCGATGATTTTTTATTTAAGATGAAACGCATGCGAATTATTTGTGGTTGTGTTTTTCTGTGTTTTTTAAGCTACCAACTACTAGTGGCGCTACTTTACTACTAAATTCCCTAACTGATGTCATGAAAATTAAAAATTAATCAACATCTCAAAAATTTTTATAATTTGTTTCGTTGAAAAATTATTTAAAAAAATATTAAAAGAAAAAATTTCACATTCAGAAAATTAAAAAAATTACACATGCAATTTTCTAAAAATATTATTTTAGTTTTAATTTAATTAATGAATAAAATCAAAAATTGTTTCATGTCGGCTAACTTTAATACCATAATAATATTATAAATTCTTATAAATTATGTTACTAAAAACTTAAAATTGTAATTAATATTTCAATACTTAAATTTTATTTAATTTAATTCACGGGATCAAAATTTGATGACTTAAATAATATGATACTGAAATTAAAAGACACCTGGTAATTTTTAGAATATATATTTAACAATTTAATTATAACAAGAAAAATTTATTTATTTAAAAAATGTCATCTTTAAAAATTTTTAAAAATTGCAGATGAAAATATTTTTCTAGATCTAGTTTAAAAAAAAAATAAAAATTGTCGTGTCTGCTAATTTCAGTGCCATTAAATAACTTGTCAAATTTTATTATAAAAAAAAAAAAAGATATTGTTTCCAACAAAAGAGAATAGTTTATAATTTAATAACTTATAACTCATTTAATAAAAATAATGAAAAAAAAAGTATAATTGTTATTTATACAAAGTAATGAGGCTTTTTGACCACGATTCCGTATTCCGCAACAGCAGGAATTAGATCCTCCATCGTAAGGGTGTATCTGCGATCTTTTCCTTTTGATTTAGTGTTCTGATTTGCGCCCCGTGTTTTGCAGTGCTGAAGCGCGTCATTAGCTATCTCAGATATGAATTTCTGAGCTGCTAAAGATATCAATCGTACACTGAAACAATACATATTAATTAGAATAATTTGTGTATTTATTGATAGTAAAATTAACCGACATTCATAAATTTTTTTCAACAATTAAATTGCAAGTTAAAAAATTATTAAAAAAAAATTTTTTCTTTTATTTTTTTTTTTTTTTGATACTTTTTTCAATAAAAAAAAATTATAAAAATTTTCAGGTGTTGGCTAATTTAATTTTAATGTTGTTACTTACATCCTTGGGTCTGCTGTATTAAATCCTGCTGTCCGTAAATAATGTTCGCTTACTGCATCAGGAATCTGTAAAAATTTTAAAAAAAATCCAGTTAATGTACATTAAATTAATTGACAATATAGTGAAGAGTGAACTAATAATTATGCAATGACTTTGAGTAAAATGATGATAATAATAAATAATAAAATAATTATTTTAAATAAGTTATTAGGAGAGCATGACGTACCGTGGGTGTATAATCTTCTAGTTGGAGAAGAAAGTCTGACAATGGTTGTCCCGCAGTTTTGATCTCCTCGTCATTAATCATCTCCATTTCATTGTTTTTTTGCTCCATTTTTTATTATCTATCAAAAGATTTAACGATTAGTAAATTATTTATTTTACAAGTGTAAGAACATAACCTATATTTATTGTATTTGTATATTTATCAATGTTATAACTATGAAATGAATAAAAATCATTTTTATTGATGAACTGACCAATTTTAGACTGAAATTAATTTATTTATTACTTACATTTATTTGTTGATCTTGCTATTAATGGTAAATATTTAGTATTCAGAGTAAATGCGATCCAACAGTGTTGAAGGTTTGGCTGAGTTTGACTAATGAGCGCGCTAGAGTCTTGAACTTGATACTTGAGTGAAATGATACTGAAGTTAGCTGACGACACTTGTCATTTTTTTTAATTTTTACAAAAAGTCAAGCAATAAAAAAAATTCTTTTAAAAATTTGCACTAATTTTTTTGAATTTTTACATGTGGAATTTTTTTATAATAATTTTACTACTATAAAATTATAAAAAAATTTACTAAGTCAGTTAACTTCAGTCCTTTGAGTGAATTATCAAAAAAAGATGGCTTCCGATTTCTTATTGGTTTAAATTACGTATCACCTGTAGCGCGCAATTTAAATGTGCAATTAAATTTGAAAAAATATTAGTACTTATTTGATATTGTTATTATATATAAATAATATATATACTTAAAAAAATTTTGAAGATTCAGATAATTTAAGAAAAAACACATTTAACCGCACAGTTATAGTTGTTTTTTAAAGTTCATTTAAATTCTGTCTGCGAACAGTAATAACTTAAATGATGACATGGTGGCGCTCAACCCAGTGGAAAAAATTTATGCAGCCAAAATGCGTGCGGTTAATAAGGTTAATATGAGAGCATATGAGCTATATAATATGAGCTAAATATTAAATAATGTGATCTGAAAAAATAACTTCAATTATATATGCAATAAATAATTAATTGAAACACTTGTTACTCAAATATGAATTGAATGTCATAAATATTTTATAATTGTGATTTAATTTATTGTATGGGTGCCATTGTGTTTAGATAGAAATTTTTTAAATAATTTATTTAGCCTATCTATTGAAATATCATGGAACAAATTTTACGAGGCAGATTTGGGTAATTTTTTATTATATATTAATTCTTTTAATTAATTTTATCTAATTAATTATAAACATTAATTAGCGTATGTTACAAAATTCTAACTAGGTTATTTTTTACAATACTCCAAAAACTTCAATTTATTTTGACATTATTATTTAATTCTACTTCACCAGTTAAATAATAATGTAGTTTTAAATGTATTTTACTTTCAGCCATAGTGTCTTCATCATATCTAAGACCTACCGGCATCCAGTGTCTATGATAAATACCAGGAGTTTGATGACAAAAAAACTCAGTGTAATCTATCGACCTTTATTATCAAATCCTCACACCCGGTATTTTATAAATCCATTTCGTGGAGCTCATCTTATGGTAATTGGTAAAGTTTTAAGAGGAGTTTTAAAAATACGTTATCTTTTACTTGGTGGCGCACTTGGAGGTGGTATATCTCTTCAAAAGGTACTGAATATACTTACAATTTACAATTAAATCTATTTAATCTCTTACTCATATTTTTTAATTAAAGAAATATGAGGACTGGAAAGAAGGCTTACCAGGAACTGAGTGGATTAAAGATTTTATACCAAGTGATCAACAGTGGCAGGAATTTCGAAGTACTTTAATTGATTTTAAGGATACTTTTGCTAATAATTTAGAGCTTGGTAAGTTATCTTTAATTTTTTTTTTATCAAAAGAATTGAATAATTAATTATAACAACAAATTTATTAGATCCTCGGATTAAAGAATACGGCGAAGCTAAATTTAATGAGTATAAGTCGTGGCTTAGCCAAAGACTAGATGATGCAATCCAAGTCGCTGAAATTAGGCGATTGGAAGAAGAAGAAGACAATGGTGATTATCAGAGTAAGTTAACGAGTTTAGAAGAGTTGATGCTTGATTATTAAATTCCTATTAATATTACTTTCACAATGAGTCATTAATTTAGCTAGAAGATTCATCAACCTGGTTTATTTTTTTGTTTGTATTGTTTTCTCTTAATCAAACTGTATTTATTTATTTTTATAAGTAGACTTTTTAACTATTTATGAAAAAAATTTTTGACGGTTCATTAATCAAAAAGAAATTAAGGATTTGATGATAATTAACGGAAGTTGAGACCCCTTAATGACTTATGATTTGGTCTGTTCTGTTCAGGTGTATTCGAAGCAATCACAGCCGTTGCAAACCAAGTATATTCAGGTGTGTAATGAACAAAAAATACAAAAACATACGTCAGTCTGTCCATTCAGCATTTTTCCGTAGATTTTTTATCTATAAATTTATTTTTCATTTGCCTCATTTTATATTTTTATTTATGTTTGAAATAATTTATTTAAGTCAGCATCGGCGATTAAATTTAGAATACTGAATGGAACAGATCGTTTTATTAAATATTAAATTATTGGAATGGCGCGTTATTTATTTCCTTATATTATAAAAGTTAGAATTTTTCTCTTCAAGTTATCCAAGGCGTTTTAATTACATCAAAGTACATTTCAAGCTTTTATTTTATGGTTTAAGGGGTAATTTTTAATAAAAATTTTGATTTCTTTTTAAAAGATACAAAACACGGGTTGACAAAACAAACAGTCGTATTTGCCCGTCCCTTGTCTAACGAATATGAAGAAGAAAGAAGAAAAGCTCGTACGTATATTTATTTATTTTTTTTTTTTTTTTTTTTTTTTCATTATTCAATCAATGTTAGAAATATTTAAAAAAACATTTATTTTCTCTTAAGAATCATCGAAAGAACGTATGGATGCCATGCAGGAAGAAATGATGCAAACTCAAATGAAATATCAGCGTGAATTGGAGAGGCTGGAGCGTGAGAATAAAGAACTTAGAAAACAAATGTTACTTCGAGGCAATCAGAAAGTCCAAAGTCGTAAAATTAAAGTATACAAATATTATTTAATTATAATTAAATTCATATTGAATAAAATAATTACATTGACAATTTTTGCTTACAGAAATCACTTATCGACATGTATAGCGATGTGTTGGATGAACTAAATGATTATGATAGTGCTTATTCGACGGCAGACCATTTACCTCGAGTTATCGTCGTAGGAGATCAAAGTTCTGGCAAAACCTCGGTGCTAGAAATGATTGCTCAAGCTAGAATATTTCCCAGGTATCTTCTTATAGTTTAAATAATAATTTAATTATTACTTTACTTAAAATTTATAAATTTTACAGAGGTGGTGGTGAAATGATGACTCGAGCACCAGTAAAAGTAACTTTAAGCGAGGGTCCTTATCATATTGCTCAGTTTAAAGACAGCTCACGTGAATTTGATTTGACAAAAGAGTCTGAATTGGTGGACTTGAGACATGAAGTTGAGTTACGGATGAAAAATAGTGTGAAAAATGGAAAAACTGTAAGTCAGGATGTTATTTCAATGACAGTTAAAGGTCCAGGACTTCAGCGTATGGTTCTTGTTGATCTTCCCGGCATAATCAGCGTAAGCTTTTAATTATTTATATTTTAAACTCAAAGTTAAATAATGTGCTAATAATAATTATTTAATCAATAACAGACAGTAACTGTAGACATGGCTGAAGATACTCGAGACGCTATTCGACAAATGACCCAACAGTACATGAGTAATCCAAATGCAATTATTCTTTGCATTCAAGATGGTTCTGTTGACGCGGAGAGGAGTAATGTCACTGATTTAGTTTCCCAAATGGACCCAAGTGGTAAACGAACAATATTCGTCCTCACAAAGGTTTAATTTTAATTAATAATTATTTTTATTTCTTAATAATACACTAAATTTATTTTTGAATGTTAATTTTATTTACAGGTGGATATGGCTGAAGAAAATTTAACGAATCCAGAGAGAGTTAAAAAAATTTTATCTGGTCAATTGTTTCCAATGAAAGCTCTGGGATACTTTGCCGTGGTTACTGGACGTGGTAGAAAAGATGATAGTATCGAGACGATAAAACAATACGAGGAGAAGTTTTTTAAAAACTCAAAATTATTTAAAGATGGTCTGGTAATGTCTGGACAAGTTACAACGAGAAATTTAAGCTTGGCAGTAGCTGATTGCTTTTGGAAAATGGTACGCGAAACAGTCGAACAACAAGCGGACGCATTTAAAGCTACGAGATTCAATCTTGAGACTGAGTGGAAAAATAATTTTCCAAGGTTACGAGAATTAGACCGTGATGAGTTGTTTGAAAAAGCACGTGGTGAAATACTCGATGAAATTGTCAATTTATCGCAATTATCACCTCGTTATTGGGAAGAAACATTGATGAATAAAATTTGGGATAAAGTCAGTATGCATGTATTTGAAAATATTTATCTACCAGCAGCTCAAACTGGCGATCAAGGTACCTTTAATACTGCCGTAGATATTAAATTGAAGCAATGGGCTGAACAGCAATTACCGGCAAAGAGCGTTGAAAGTGGCTGGGAAACTTTGAAGCAAGAGCTTGAAAATTTTATGAAACAGGCTAAAAAGAGTTCTGATCATGATGATATTTTTGATGCTCTTAAAAGCTCGGTAGTAAATGAAGCAGTTCGACGGCATTCTTGGGAAGATAAGGCATCGCAAATGTTACGAGTGATACAGTTAAATGCGCTAGAAGACAGAAATGTTAATGACAAGCGTGATTGGGACGAAGCTGTTAAATTTTTAGAGAATTCAGTTAAAGATAAATTACAGAGTACTGAACAAATTCTTTATGAAATGCTTGGACCTGGTAGAAAAGAGCGTATTCTCTATTGGAAGTATCAGACTGATGAACAGAAAAAACGGATGGCTGTTAAGAATGAGCTGGATAAAATTTTATACGCTGACAAGGTAAGAAATTTAATATTAACTTTTATTAAGTTTAAAATTAATTAGTTTATTATTTAATTTTCAAGTTTAAAATTAATTAATTTATTATTTAATTTTACTTTTGTAGAAGCATCCACCAACATTATCACAAGATGAATCAACGACAGTAAGAAAAAATTTACAACGTCATAATTACGACGTAGATAATGATTTCATTCGCACTACATGGCATCCTGTCTACAGAAGGTTCTTTTTACAGCAGAGCTTAGCAAAAGCTTATGACTGTAAAAAAGCATTTTACATGTATCATAATGGCCATGAAAGTGAGGTAAGTAGAGTAATTTGTATTATTTATTTCAACTGAATATGTTATTTTATTATAAAAATTATTTATTATTTACTGTAATTTTTTTAGACTGAGTGTAATGACATAGTTCTTTTCTGGAGGATCCAACAAATGTTAAAAGTAACATCGAAAGCTCTGAGACAGCAAATAATGAATCGTGAAGCTCGTCGACTAGACAAAGAGATAAAAGAAGTCTTAGAAGATTATAGTCAAGATAATGAAGTAAAGCAAAAATTAATAACCGGAAGAAGAGTAGAATTAGCCGAAGAATTAAGTAAGTTTTTTTTTAACTACCAATTAAATTTTATAAAATATAAATATTTATATTTTTTTTTTTTAATTAATTACAGAGCGTGTCAGACAGATTCAAGAAAAACTCGAAGAATTTATTCAAGCTCTCAATAAAGAAAAGTGAATAGAATAACCGGTGAATTGTGTGGAAAAAAATCTTATACCAAACAATTCTAAATAAATAAATAATTAGAAAACAATACTAAGTGATCGATTGTTTGACTCTTGTGCCTGTGTATTCATACTTGACACTTTAATTGAATTATATCCATGATGAGACCTGAAATAAATTCATTGAATGTGTCCTTGACATGTTGAAGTGAATCGTGTAAAAAGTATCCAACAGACATAACTTTAGTTTATTGTTAATAATGGTTAATAGACATTAAGTATCTAATTTGAATTTATTTAACAACTTAATACAGTTAGTGTGATATGGTGTTCACATCTAGATGATAAATTTAATAAAATCATTCTGACGAATACACTGCGGGCAGTGCACTAGTATTGTGCTGAGCTAAATTACAAATTATATCATACCACGACGAACGTAGATATCTAATAAAAACATGTTTATTTTACTTTATTGTTTCTCATACGCACTTTGTTTTTAGGGAAGCTAACCAAATAAATAAAATTTTTCTTCAAAACTTTTCTTCAATTTTAATCCTATCGTCATGAAACTAAAATTAGCCAACAGCAAAAAATTTTTATTAATTAAATTAGCAATAAAAAAAATATTTTTAAAAAATTGCACTTATAGTTTTTTTAATTTTATACATGTGCAATTTTTTCTTTTAATTTTTTTGTAATAATTTTATTAATAAAAAAAATTTTTTAAATTATCAGTTGCTAATTTTATTTTCGTATCAAGTCCTAAAAAATTTTTTACATTTATATTTAAATTGTTTTTTAAAAAATAATTTTCTTCAGAAATTTGAATTGAAAAAATTAATTCGCGCTCCTTGATAAAAGAGAGAGACAACTTCTCTCTCTCCTTCTCAGTTGTCTTCCTTCTTTCTCTGCGGACGTTCCTTTTTTAGTGATCCAAATTTAGTAAATAAAGATGGCGGCAAAGACGAAGTCGTGTTGTAGATCGCTCTCGTTGATAATTTCAATAAAATGATATTAAAAGGTGTAAAAAAATTATAAATCACCCCTAAAACACGGGTGTCGGATACCTGCTGTTTATTATTTATTTAAATAAAACGTACTTTCAGTGTAAATACTGTGATTTTATAAATATTTATCGGGTCTACCATATATTTAGTGGTCTGAAGAAAAAAAGGCATCCCGGGTAGAGTGAGGAAAAAAATAAAATAAAATTTATAAAAAGAAGAGAACGAGAGAGATAGAAGAGGGAGAAACGAGCAACTAAGACGAATAAGAAAATAATTTAGCTCCAGAGTTCACGGTAAGGATATAAATCTGTAACTATTTTTAGTTGAATATTTGAAAATTAATTTACCAGATATTTCATCATTTTTAGAACTTTTTAAACAAATAAATTATTAAAAAAAAAAAAAAAAAAATTGAAGTAATTTTAAAAAATAATAAATTTTTTAAAAATAATTTGTTAAAACTCAAAAAATGGTCGAGTTATACTGCTAACTTTAATGTCATATATTTATAAAAATTAATTTACTAGAAATTCGATCATTTTTAGAATTTTTTAACAAATAAATTATACAAAAAAAAAAAAAATTGAAGAAATTATAAATGCAATTTTTTAAAAATAATTTGTTTGTTAAATAAACTTAAGAAATGGTCGACTGACTGCTAACTTTAATGTCATTAAATAGGAGTGCCAACTAGATACTATTTTTATTTAAATTACTCTTCTGAGATCAAGATTAAAAACTCCTGGAGTATATTAATTATTTTTGCAATAATAATTTTTTATTGCCTAATAAAATTATGAAAATTAAGTTAGCCGATATGTAAAAACTTTTAAAATTTTTTTATTGAAAAAAATGTTACAAAAAAAAAAATTTCATTCATAAAAAACTTTAAAAACTATAAGTGCAATTTTTTAAAAATATTTTTCAGTTCTTATTTAATAAATGAAAAAAAATTATAATAAAATTTGGGCTTTTCATCTGCTTTCAGTCCAATCTGTATTACAATTAAATTTCTATACATAAATATATATATATATATATCTTCTTTACATATAGGTTTTGAGAAAATTTAATTGCAACAGCAGCCGCGGAGGGAAAACGTCTTCTCTCTGTATGATAAAGTATATCTTGTCTCTCTGTTTCTAAGACATTGCCACCGGTAAAGGCTCAACCAAACTAAATATCAGAATGCTATTTTTATCCTCAAGAACCTACATACCAATCTTCACCGTCTTGTGTACTAACTGCAGCCTCAACTCATCATTAATTCACTCAAATAATTGACAGATTAATTTTTTAATCAATTTTTCAGAAGAGATAATGAATTATTTACTTGCTAAATAACTATCATCAAGCTTAAGCTTGTAATTCAAAAACAAGATAAATCCAGACACGAGCGAGCAATGTGTTATGCTTTTAAAATAAAACAGTACAAGCTTAAGCTGAGTACAATTGAAATTGTTGGACGACGTTCCAATTGTTCGCTTCAAGATCCTGCTGCTGCTGCTAAGTATTGGAGTAAAAAAAAAAGAAGAGATAAAAAAAAAGTCCCACATGTTTAATTTTATTTTATTTGATCAAGAGTGAGAATTCTAGTGTAATAATAACACGTGAATCATTACTACCTGACCGTTATGTATGACGTTTAGTCGGTGATGTCACAAATTATACTGACTCTTTGGGTTTCGTCATGCTTTAAGATAGAAGAGAGGACTGACCGGGTAGAGTATTGAGCAACCTTTAAATACGCCTTCTATTCTCCGTAGAGTAATGTCGTGTGCTCTACCATCAGCGCAATGCCAAAGAAATGACGTTTAATTAACAAAAGTTAAGTCTGTCAGTTAATTGGTAGCTTTGTGATGGGCTATTTCGATTTATTTGTAAAGCTAGATTTTATTTATTTTATTCTCAGAAAGTTTGCGGGCTAACTCCGTCGCAGTTGTTTAATAAATTGACTGACAGGTCCAGCGTATAAGAAAAACAGTTTAAGTCGATGATTTGAGACTGACGAGTGATCATTCATGACGGCTAAAACATCTGTACCGACAATTTAAAATGCATCTGTCTTAAATGGAGTATATTTGCAAAAAAAATATTGTACTGAAATTGAGAGACATTTGGTAATTTAAAAAAATTTTTTAAGAGATGAATTATAGCAAGAAAAATTTATCTAAATAATTTCATTTTTAGAAGCTCTAAAAAATTATTTATTTATTTATTTATTTATTTATTCAAACGCTTTTAGGTTTACATACAAGTAAATTTTAACTTCAGAAGAAATAAAGAAAAAAAGCAATAATATTTTGTTAGAATTTAATTAAAATTCAATTGAATTAATTTACTTTATAACTTTAACTTAGTAACAGTATAGAAACAATATTTTTGAGAGTAATTATTACAAAAAGAATAAATGCAATTTTGGTAATTATTTACAAGTGGAGTCAACCCTATTTTTGGACATATCTAGGTGAAAAATTAGCATTTTCAATTTTTTAAATTCTGTTTGTTTTTACGGCGCATTTATGATGAAAAATGTCGTGAAAGAAAAAAATAAAGATTTCGATAACTTTTTTACCTTCAAAAGCTGGAAAAAATTTTGGCTCTTATGTTTTTGGATAAAATTCCTATTTTATCTTTTTTGATATATTTTTTTTTTCAAAAGTACCTAAAAAAAAAAAGAACAATTTAAAAAAATTTGAATATCACAATTTTCTAAAAAATTTATAAATTTTTTTGAAAATTTGTTAAAATTGTGATAATCAACTTTTTTTTTTTAATTGTTGATTTTTTCATATATTTAAAAAAAAAATATATCAATAAAATCAAATAGAAATTTCGTTGAAAAAAATGAAAATTAAAATGATTGAACCTACTTGTAAATATTTACCGCAATTTTTTTAAATATATTTTTCTAGATCTAGTTTATTTAAAAAAAAAAAAAAAAAATTGTCAATTTATATTTTACATACGTCGAACTTTCTTAATCGAGAAAGCTCCATATGTATTTTCTATTCTCTTTATTTATGGAAAAAATAAAGTAAAGAGAAGAATTGAATACAAATGAATGATAAATAATGATTAATAGTATATAAGGGGCTCGAATTTAACGTGCGTCGTATTATTATGGTGAGACACACACGTTGCTCTAAAAATATCGACTCCGATCAAATATCGAGTATACTACATACTTAAATAGATGTATTGTACATAAATATATATTTATTAATGTATGTGATACATGTAATAAGCATAGAAAACAAGATGTGCGCTACATGTGTCTATCCATTCGCGACGCGGAAAATGTTGCCAGGAAGCGATTGATCACAATCCCACGATCTCAGATATTAATCTCTTACGTAGAACGTCATACTTCTGGAACAAAGGCGCTAAATTGAGACAGAGTTTTATTTCTTTTTTATAACCCAGAAAAATAAAGTAAAATATTGATTTGATTGACAGTCGAATAATAAAATTTATTGGATAAAAATAAATTAAAGCAATAATACTAATTACAGTGACGTTTAATATGTTGATGAATGCTTAGGTTTTTTTTTAAAAAGTACCAACAGAAATACGTCTTTAATAAAACAGCTGCGAAGCCATATAATGTATTGTACATGTGCGTGCATAGCGCCTACTAGTACAGACTTTTAAAAAAATATTTCGAGCTCAAATCACACTCGGTAGACACGTAAAAATCGCAGACGAGTGAGAAATGTGAGACGTCTGGTTATTTTATATTTTTTACAGCTTTTTATATACGCTTTTAACGTTTTTAGTTTGAGAATGGCTTCCAGAAGATGTGGGAGTGAAAACCCGCGGATATAAAGGAAAAAATATCAAAAAGAAAATCAACTGAATGCTGTAGCTAAGAGCTATTGAGTGCAGCGTGGTTTCAATAATCAAGACTGGCATGTATGTGCTTTAAAATTTCTTTTATTTTATTTTCCGTAACCCGAGACACTTAAGTATTTTATTCATACGATAGAGAGAATTAAATGGAGTACTTAGAAGATGATAATGGTGATGTGATGATGATTATAATTATTACAGCAATTTTTTTCTTGTATGTATTTATTTATTTATTTATAATTTGCAGATATGAGTAATTTGAGATGATAAAAAAAAGATGGCCTGGTTTTTGTAGTAGTGGGAGGATTAACTGCAAGCTGGTACGATAAGCAAAGCTATTAATGCCATTGCACTTTGAATACACACGTGCTCAATCTGAGGAAGTTGAGAGAGCTCAAGCGGGTCATGAGTGAGAGCAAGAAGGAAACGGATGTATAAAGGAAGAAAGACTCGTGTCAAGGAAGAAAAAAATAACCTGATGAATAAATTCTAGAAAGTAATAAGCAATAAAGATTACAATTTGGTAGCCGGTAGTATTTAAGCTACGGTCAAAAAGGGGTGAATGAAGCATAAGTTGGTTCATAATCATGCACGAGGCTGACTCATATTTTTCGAGTCAATGTCTCTTGAATACTAAACTACCACGCTTTATTTTACTACAATGAATAAGTAATGAGGCTATTCAAAAAACTTAAACAATAATCGTGTTTATTATATATTCATACCTCATTTTTGAGCGTAATTGTAAGCTTGCATCACTGCTTCAGTTGTGCGGTCAAGTATTATATTTTTTAGCGGCTAGAGATTACATTTTGTATTTGAGGAACAAATATTCCAAGGTTGGCCATTTGCCTTGGGCTTCAGCGTCATACTATTTCCGTTATTATCAAATGTGTATTGCTAAATATTAAATTTGTAAGCTGAAATGTAATTTACGCTATTAATTTTTTTTTTTTTTTTTAATAGTTCGTTTTTTTATGTACTTTTCAAAAAAAAATATATCAAAAAAAGATAAAATAGAAATTTTATCTAAAAACATAAGAGCCAAAATTTTTTCCAACTTTTGAAGGCAAAAAAGCTATCGAAATCTTTATTTTTTTCTTCTACGATATTTTTTATCATAAATTCACTGTAAAAATAAGTAGAATAAAAAAATTTTAAAATGGTATACTTGTTTGTAAATAATTACCTTTTTTTTTTTATATCGAAATAATATTGAAAGGTGTATTATTAATTCATTCAAGAATTAGCGATAGCTGTAAAAAGGCTTCATAGAATAGTAATAAAGTCTGTGAAGCTTAGAGTATGTGCTGAGATGTAAATGAAATAATAATTATTGTTGTTGTGGTGTGTTGCATTGATGTTCTGTTTAACTAGCGGTTACTAGAATAAGTGAGAGAATTATCTGAGTTAGTGTGCTCGCGTAAGGAGTAGCGACAGTGTGGAAAAGCTGAAGACAGGGCGACACTCAGTGTTTTCAAGCCCAAAATAAACTTCGCCGCATTCTCGTTCTCTTTTCATCTATTCTTTATATACGATTAGAGTTACTCTTGTCCGGCATCGTGTTCCCAAAGTCGAATAAGTCAAGAGTGAGATGAAATCAGTTTAACAGTGGATTTAATAAAATAATAAAAATAGGAATTTGTCAAGCGTGTGTTCTTTTTTTTTTTTATAGCTCTAGATTTAAATTTCAGAGTATACCACTTAAAAATTTATTTTTAATAGTATTTTTTTCTTTTTCGTTACAGATAGAAGAAAGTAATAAAATATTTAAAAATGGTTGTCGGAGAGCCAAGTATCCACAATATTATGAGTGGGATGGAGAGTACAGGAGGTGTACGACTGCACAACCACAAACGGAAATTGAAACAAAGGTAATAATGTATTGTATTAAATATATTATATGACAATATTGATAATAAAATAACGTAAATTTAAAAGACCTATGACTCTCGGCTAATTTGACGTTGACATTCGGTCAAGTGGTTTTAATTCTAAGCCAAAATCATTAATTTGGCGCCTTCCTGTTGGCACGTCACATGTCTACTGATACAGTTTGAATATAAACGAAAAAAAAAAAAAAAACCAGTTGTAGTGGACTAACAGTAGATTTTACATTTAAACATACTAAAATAAACATAAACCGTTGCCTAGATATTTAACAGAGGTTTGTTTTTGTTTCAGGTTTGATATTATCAAGAAACTGGGTCAAGGTACCTACGGGAAAGTACAATTGGGAATAAACAAAGAGACTGGACAAGAGGTCGCTATTAAAACAATTAAAAAATGCAAAATTGAAACAGAAGCTGATCTGATAAGGATAAGACGTGAAATTCAAATTATGTCGAGTGTTCAGCACCCTAACATTATTCACATTTACGAAGTATTTGAGAATCGTGAGAAGATGGTACTTGTAATGGAGTATGCAGCAGGTGGTGAGCTTTACGACTACCTCAGTGAACGTAAAGTGCTCTCTGAGGAAGAAGCCCGTCGAATATTCCGTCAAATTTCAATAGCGGTGTTCTATTGTCATAAGCATAAAATTTGTCACCGTGATCTTAAGCTAGAAAATATTCTATTGGATCATTTGGGGAATGCTAAAATTGCAGACTTTGGTTTGTCGAATGTTTTTGATGAACAAAGACTGTTAAATACTTTTTGCGGCAGCCCTCTTTACGCTAGTCCTGAGATAGTTAAAGGTACACCGTACCACGGTCCAGAAGTTGACTGCTGGAGTCTCGGTGTTTTACTTTATACATTAGTCTACGGCGCTATGCCATTCGATGGTTCTAATTTCAAAAGACTTACACGGCAAATTTCTGCTTCTGATTATTTTGAGCCGAAAAATCCTTCACCAGCTTCACCTTTAATCAGAGATATGTTAACTAAGTGTCCTGCTAGGAGGGCTGATATTGAAAGGATATGCTGTCATTGGTGGGTTAATGAGGGATATGAGCAAAATTGTCTTGATATTGCTGAAGATTTAGCCGCCCAGACGCCAGTTAGACTCGATTTATTGCTATCCTTGGTGCCGCAATCGGCTAGCGCTGACAAATTGGTCGTCACGAATGATCAATCGCCTGAGACTGGTAGAAATATCGGCACGGAAACGATGCCACCTACTCGATGTCTTTCTGTTGGCAGCCTCATGGATCTCGATAGAAATAATTCGGATCGTATTCGAGAAATGGTCGAAGAGGAGTCTCCGAGGACAAATGCTAATGACACTAAGAGGAAATTGGAGAACACGCCTTCGATGGAGGAAAATGTTGAAGCAGGTGTTAAGAAGAAAGATCGGTCGAGAAGAAAAGAACGGACTGATGATAGAGAGCCAAGATCTTATAGGTCTACTTCAAGACATCATTCCGCTCCAATAACTAATGCTATTACTGAAGAGGCTATGGAAGTTGAACCTAGTGTTGAGCTGGATCTTCGAGACCCGGCTGCTGCTGCCGCTTGTTTAGAACTTATTCGTGAAGCTCAATCGAAGTCGCCGAGTAAGGAGCGAAGTAGAACTCCTGTTCCGTTGGAAGAAAAAGTTCAAATGAATGAGCAACAAGTTTTTAAGGAAAATTTCAATGATACTAATCAAGATGTTAAGCCTATTGCTAATAAATTGGATAATGTAGCGGATAACTCTGGAGAAAAACAATCTGTTGATCAGGTAATTAATAAAACTCAGGTTAAAAAGTCGGTAAAATCTAAAACTAATGATGTGAAGAATATTAATGATAATGCTTCCAAACAAGATGTGCCAAGTAAAGACATTGAATTAACACAGAAAGTAAATTCAGAAGAGAGTGAAAAAATTTCTACTCCTACGGAGGAAAAATCTGAAGTGAAGAATGAGAATAAAAAATTGAAACAAAAATCACAGTCACTTGATGAAGAAGCGGTTGCTCCGACTAAGCCAACGGAAAGGAGACGTTCTAAAATATTTGAGACAGCTGAAAAGTTCAATCAACTTTTGTCATCAGGCAGTGAACCAGAAAAGCCAAAGAAGATTTTTATACCTGGTGTTAACGTAGGTGGTGCTAAGCGAGCATTTGAGCGTAAAGCGAGTCTCTCTTCCGTTGCAGTTCCACAGCCCGTTAAGTTAAATGCGTCTAAGGTAATAATAGATGTGCCTAATGATAAAAAAAATGACAAGGAAGAAAAATTAACTACTGTAACCAAGTCAGAGTCTTCGGTAAAGAATGAAGAGGAGCGACGTCGGGATGAAGAAAAGAAACGAGCTGTTGATATTATCACTGGTGCCTTAGGTAAACCTCCAGTCAAGAAAAAAGTCAATGGATCGCCTCCAATGACTCCCCAGAGTCAAGAGTCGAAAAATCTTGGTCTAAAGATTCAATTGGGACCAAACGACTTGAGAAATGCTACGGTGTCGGTGTCTACTCCCGTAGACACCAAGTATCCAGACTTTGAATCTTCTCCAGTAAAACCCGCTGCTGTTGCAAATTCAGTGCCAACTACTCCAGAGTCAAAGAGTGTCAATAATTCGTTCTCCGACGAGCCAACAATGTCAAGTAAGATGGAGATAAAACTCAAGAGTGCGACGTTACCTCGACCGAGAAAAACTAGTAAAGCAGAAATTACATTGGCGGGAGTTAAAGCACCTGAGCCAGCATTCAAGTCGGAAGTCGAGGCCAAGATCGATGCTTTCCATCCTCAAAAATTGAGGACTCAAAAGTCTGAAGTCGCGTTCCCTGTAGCTGCGGTTACTTCTCAGGCTAACCGAAGTTCTAGCTTGGAGCCTGAGAGCAGTAAATCAAAGATTTTAGGAAAGGAGAGAATAATACCAATTCACGTGGAATCAGGTCATCAAATTCAGAACTCAGCGACTCCTCCGAAGCCACCGATGCCCCAGCGATCCATGTCTCAGCGCTCGAATTCGTTATCGCGGCAGTCTACTGCAGATTCAGACACTGACAGTGCTCTTGGCTCAACTGTTGGCCCCGAGCCGATCAGAAAAAGTCCCAGGGAATATATTATTCCCATTGCCGTTGAAGGAGGTGGATATGTCACTCCAAGATCTGGCAGTGTAGAGCCCGAGAGTAAAACAAGCACACCCACTAGCACAAATCCGCCACGAGCGAGGTTTGGAAGAGGCAGAAGAATGGGCTCTTTGCTTTCTGACGCCAGTGAAGACGAGTCGCCATTCTCTACGCTCCATCGGTATGATTTTAAATTATTTATTTATTCGAAAAGAAACGCCTTCGGTAATTTACAACAATATATTACATTTTTATGTGCAGAATGTTTAGTTAATATTTATTTACAATAAATAATATCTGTAAAGAGAAAGGGAAAATAGATTTAAGAGATTTGAAAATAGAAAAAAACAAAAAAAAATTTTTTTAATTACTCAAAAAATTTTTTAATAATTCACGCTTATATAACATTTTTAATATTTTATTTCCTGACAATGTTATTATTTTTTTTGTTTTTTATTCTATCTCTAGGGACAGCGATGATTTACTTCAAAGACACATGCATCGGCTGAGAAGTTCAAGACCTTCTAGACAAGCTCCAGAGCATGCAGACAGCCTGTCATCCGGCGAGGATGACGATGACGATGGCTTTGAGCTTTTGACCGCTGAAAATTTATTCTCAACGCTTTTGTCGAGAGTTCGTAGTCTGACCCAGCGGCTCAATGTTGATGATAATCGAGGAACTGGATTTCCTCGCAGCCGATTGTTGGATAGACTAGGTTCTAATTCCTCTCAAGGATTCTGGGGAATGTCCGAACCTCTTTCAAGGTATATTTAATAAAATTTTATTTATTAATATTCACAATTTTACTGGAAATTTAATTTTATTAAAAATAAATATAGTTTAATAAATATTCTAATATTTGGCTCTTTGTGCAAGCTACGAGAGCCACGTTGAAACACAGACGATAACAACGTGAGTCCAGTCGTAAGATAAAATCCACGAGTTTTTAGTTCTTTAATTAGTAATATTGCTTACCACAATTGCCATAATTTATAAATCCACTCTTAAATTTGCACCGTTTAGATAACTACTGTAAATAATATATTTCTTTATTCTATATCTTTTAAATAATTATCTCAAGTATTACACTCGTATAAATCCTATTAGAACGTTTTAAATACATTACTCTGAGCACTTAATATCGGACAAGTGGTACAAAAATAATTTATACCTAAAATAAATTAAATGGCACACTTATTCCTTTTATTTAGCACTATTGCTAATAATTTATTTTTAATTAAATTAGCTAGTATTTATTTTTTTTATTTGCTTTATTGTTGGTCAACAATATCATTGATTAATTTTTGTAATAAAAATTTATTTTAGGCGATTGGCAGAGTCACCATTCAGACGATCTCTCAGTCGCGATACAGACAGATTTGGGCGTAAGGATTCAGCAATGTCATCAAATCCTGGAACACCCACGAGCCTTGGAGCTCGTACTACGCCATCACATGAAAGTATTTTTGAATTAGGCAGCAGTAATACTTTACCTCGAGGTAAGAATAAATAATAAATAAATTTATTTATAAATATTAGTAGTAATAATATTAATAATAAATTATACAAAGGAAAAACAAGAAACCAAAAAAAAAACACACACACACACTTAATGTTGTATTGTGTTGATACACGCATTCGCAGAAGCTTAAAACTATTTTGTAGGCAGTAGTAAAATGCTTGGCATATGTTACAGACAATTGAACAAATCAATAACAAATAATAAATAAATTAATTAATTAATAAAATTGATGAAAGAAAGACAGATCAAAAAGAAGCTTCTGCAGAGTCGTGAATGATCTTTTTCTTTCTTCTCTATCTCTAATCTGTCAAATCGGCGTTTTATTATCGTGTTTAATAAACTAACAAAGTTATTGCTCCATAAACACGTTAATACAACGTCGAAATATTTTAAATATGCATCTCCTAGTACACCTATAGCTGTTGTCGAGTCGTTGATAGACAAAGCACAATTTTCTTCCGTACTCTTTTAGTGGTTTACCTCTTTTACAACTTTATTTATTTATTTATTTAATTATGTAATATTTATTTTTATTATTTATCTTTATAATAAATAATTACGTAAATTACTTCTTGCCTGACGGTGTTTTGCAACCTTTTTTTTATTTTTTACTAACACATTACTTTTATTCCTGTTGAGACAGGTGGGTTAATCTTATATTAAATAAATTATTTTTTTGTCACCCACTCGAATTATATAAATATTTATATTAAATTTATAAGTAGTGTTTTAGAAAGCACTGAGTCACTTTTAAGCATGTACGTGATTGCACGTCGCGTTATCATGAGAATGCTCTATTTACTATTTTTAATGTTCAATGATTGGTATTGTCATAAATTAAGATACAAAGTATTAATTAAAAATCAATAATAAAATAAATTAAAAATAACACGATTAAGCTTGCTGAGAGATCTACTTGTAGACCCCTAGAATAATTAGACACACAATTAATTTTAAAATGGGAGTTAACCAATGAATCGCATATTTTTTCGGTTTTTTTTTTTTTTTTTTTATTTTTAATTCTTTTCCTAGTAATTTATTATATAACAAAGTAGAATTCCTACTATTTAAAACCTAGCATTGAATATTTAGAGCATGAAAACACGTCCATATACAAAAATTCATCTAAAAAATATTTTAAAAAATTATTAATAATAATAACGTATTTATAAAATTAAAAAACCACCTCTTGAATGATAAATTAATAAAAATTTGAATTTCTATCTAAAGTCTATCGTCGACTCTTCAATCAGTTAAAAAGTCGATCGCTGTCTGATAATTTATGATTATATTTTCGGTAATTTTTTTTTAATAAAAAAAAATATATAAATAATTGCTTAAGCATTTATTATTATTATTATAGCTTGGCTTTTTAGTAATTATATATAACAATAGTCTAATAAAAAAAAAATTTTTTTTTAAAAACAAAGTCTTCTTATTTTTTAAATTTAATTTATGTAAATAATTATAAAGGAGGCTTTGGGTTTTAATTATATTTTTTAAACAAACTAATACAAAAAAAAAGCAACAAAAGTTGTGAAAAAAAAAAATACCGAAAATATTTTCAATAATTATCGCCGGCGCCGCTATTATTTTTCCAAAAAATAAATAATGTAAAAAAATAAAAATAATACGGTCTTTTATGACGGTTGTTGCAGCGACCGTGCGAGTGACTCTTCGTAGGCGGGCCGACGGTAATCCCCAGTAAAATAAAAATCTAATAAATCCAAATAAAGTTAGGTATTATTATATGGCTAATTAATCACCTGTCAACACTCAGCCATTTAAATCACTCAATTATATTAATACTCAATTAATTAATTATTTATAATAAATTATAATATTCAAGAGGCCATACTTCCATAAATATAAATCATTGTTAATAATCATTTGTAAATCATTTTAGTTTTAAAAATTTATGTAAAGAAGAAAACAAATCGATAGATAATAACTACTCAATATTTTTATTTAAATTCATCGATTTTTTGTTTACATCATTTTTTTATTAAACTAAATTAATTGAATTAATATAAAAAAATAACGCTAATTTAATAATAAAGTGTGAATTAGTGTAGAAGCGCGATCAGTGTCAGGTTTAATTATTAATAAGTATGATTTATTGTTAAGGATAAATTTTAATTTATTTGTATTTTGTCTTTATAACAATTGCTTATTAAATGAAGTTAAAAATTTTTTTTTAATAAAAAAAAAAAAAATAGTAAATAATAAATAAATCATACTAAACCTGCTTTATAATAAAATAAAATAAAAAGCTGTTTGTTTTCTTGTATATAAGCTAATTGCGGTGTCTTGTCAAGTAAAACCAACTTTGTTATATGACAACAATTTTTGTATATGACGACGTTAGTGAGAATGATTTTAAAAATAAATAAAAAACACTCATAGTTTTTTACAATGCAGTAATTTGTATTAAACAGACAAAAAGTTAATTAATAATAAAAATAATAATAATAATAATAATAATAAGCAAATACAATCAAAGACTAACCCGTGCCCGAAATGAACTAAGATTTGTTGTGTTTTGAAAGTTTAAATAACAAATTTTATATATTAAAAAAAAGGAAAAAAAAAAAAAAAACAATTATATATAATAAATTTTTGTTCTTACTCGTGTGCGCTCGTTTTTGTCACGGAATGCTTTGTTTTTGCTATAATTTTACCTTAATATAATTGGTAATTAAAAATTAATCAAGATTAATAAATATAAAATATGAAATGCCTTTGGCATAAATTTTAGGTTTGCTCATTTAATAAATCTTACAAATTATAAAGCGAGAGCAGTAGTTAATGCTAAAAATATATAACTTGATACTTTGGATTAATAGTAAATACGTAATATTAATATTAATAAAATTGAAAGTGTTAATTATAAAGCATGGTAATTATTTAACGAATTAATGATGTAATGAAATTGTTAAATGAGTGTACCTTTATATTTTTCTGTTTCTTCTTAATAATTAATTTTATTGTATCTCTGGTAACTACTCGTGTCATTTAGATGTAGCGTAGCAAGTCTATGTGCTATCCCTGTAGTAAATTACAAATATTTGTATTAATCTTATCAATTATTCATTAAAATGTGTCAAAATATATAAATTATTACAATTAATACAAGAGATCATTTCGTTGTGAAATTAAAAAAATAATTTTTACTCACTAGAGTCCAGTAATTATGTTTTTTTAAATTTTTACTTTCAATATAATCTATATTATTAAGAGAATAAGCAAAATTTTGTGGCCAGTGTATTTATATAATAAGTATTTAGGCTGCATTCGATAATGCTCTATCTCTAGATACATAATTAAGAAATTACCTTTTATCTTGTGAAATATTGACATTTTTTAAAATATAAGCTCATTCCGATGTTACACTCATCAAGACCTTTCATTTGAGTACCCACATCAATTTTTCATATATTTATATATATTATATATATATATGTATATATGAAAAATATATAAAAATGCATGTGGGTATTCAAATGAAAGCTCTTGATGAGTGTAATATCAGGATGAGCTTATATATTTAAAAACATCAATAGTTAAAAAATTACAGTGCAATTTAACAAAAGTAATTATTTTATAAAGCAAAATTTTATTAATTTAAATTGACTAACAACGAAATGGACTCTAGAAAAATTAATACAGCTAAATCTTCCATTATATTAAGCCATAAAAACACATTTACAATTTACACACGTTACCTGCATATAAAATTTATTATTTATATCAGAATAACAATTTTTTCCATAAAAAACATTTTATACAATAAAAAGAAAATGATTAATAATTATGTAAAAAAAAAAAAAAATTCAAATGAGTGTATATAAATTTCTGAATTATAAAAAATAAATAAAAAAATAAAAATTAGATACCGAATATAATTATAAAAATTTCAAGCGCAGGTGGTGGCCCACCAAAAATTTTGGTTTGCCTAAATTATTTTCCAGATAAATCCCACGAGGCCGAACAACCAGAGTCACGTAAAAAGGATCAAGAGTCTGATTCGCGTCCCAATTCCTCAACAAGTGGCACCCGCGATAGCTTCACTCCAAGTCTTGCGCGTCGCCTCAGCAGACAATTTATCGAACAAACAAGACAATCATTGCCAAGGTCGCCGTCAATACCGCGCGACCGACTCTACAGGTCTTCAACAGAGGAGCCAGATTCTTTGTCATCATTGTTGCCAGATCGTTCGATGTACCGCAGCAAATCAAGCGATAGAAGCTTGAGAAGAACTAACAGTTTGTTGGAGAACGATCGAGGGGAGAGACCTGAGTTTCGATACAGGCGCAGCGTCAGTTTGTTCGAAGATGATGATGATGATGAGACACTCCCACCACTTCCTAGGCAAGTTATGACTCTTGGACGGAAGTACCGAGACACTGTCAAGGCTGCAGTTAATGGAATTCGCCGGGATAATATTTGCTTGGCTGAGAAAATCCAAGAGGAGCCTACTGATGAGCTGACATCACCGAAAAAAAATTCAATCCAAGTTCCTGAACAAGCTTCGCCTTCTGAGGGAACTTCAGTGTGTAATTCAGCGACTAATTTAGGAGATACCACTTCTAGTTTGTCGACTAAGTCACAAGAAACTTCACCGGGAGATTCTTCATCAAATATCCAGCAGCAAGGAGAAGCTTTGAACTCTTTTCGCGCTGATGCTAAAGAATTTGAGTCCCGGCTTCTGGCTGCTGAGAATTTAATTAAAGAGTCAAAATTACGCAACCTGGGACTCAATAAATTTGACCCTAATTTGAGTTCTAGTTACAAAGAAACTGAAAAGTGTGATAAACAGTTGCTGGGGTCTATGACTGATTTAACAAGTGGTGTTTTAAATAAACGACGTAGCTGCATACCGAGTTTAAGATTGCGATCTGGGTCTTTGACTCGAGAAGCTATGGGTCGCAGGAGCACTTTGACTTCTCCTGAACCGGTTGATATTCGCGCTGCAACTCCTGAGAGATCTTTGCTAAGTAAACTCTTCCGCTCTGGAAGTGTGAGCCGTGAGCGAGACTCTGAAAGCAAGGACAAGTCTCCAAAAACTAAGCGAAGGATTTCAAGATTTTTGAGGCCTGACTTTTTTGATACTCCTAGGGAAGAAAGCCAGTATGTTAAGGATAAGGAAGCTCAGAAGGCGGCTGAAAATGAAAGAAGAAAATCGAGGTTTATGAAGAGGAAGGAGAATAAGGATGTTGAAGATGTTGAAGATGTTAAAGAGAAAGAAGAAAAGCCTGAGAAGGAGTTGAAGAATCAAGCTAATGAAATTACCAGGGATCAAAGTGATTTGATTAATTTTAATAAGATAAATAATTCTAATGTTGATAATTTAAGCACGGATAAATTAGAAAGACAAAATTCTAAAAATAGTTTCTTCCAGACTTTAGAGAAGAAATTAGAAAAACTCAGATCTAATGATGAGTCACAAAAGGTGGAATCAAGTGATCCTTTGAAAGGATCTACTGATGATTTGCAGAAAATTAATGGTGATGTTAAAGAAGAAATAAATAATTCTGTTGTGGAGACTTTAAGTGAAGCTGATGTTATAAAAAAAGTAGCAAGTATGGAAGATTTAACGAGTGAGCCGGCTCCTGCGGTAAAATCAAAAGTTTCAAGTGTGCTGGGGCTTTTTAGAAATGATTATAAGTCTGCAGTTAATGGGGGAAGACAACAAACTTTGTTGAGCAAGTTGAAGAAAAATGTTTATCGAGGGTCACGTTCTGATAGTGTATTGACTCCTGAAGCTTCTAGTAAAATTCCCAAGGCTAAAGCTGGAGAAATTAAGCCTAGGAGAAGTTTAGAGCTTAAAAGATCACCTGAGAAAGTTGATAAAAAATCTCCTCCGAAGGAGAAGGAGAAGGTTAAGGAAAAAAGTCCGCCTGAAAGAGCTAGTGTAGAACGAAAGTCTGTTGAGAAGCAAATAAAGTTTCCCAAAAAATTGACTCCGGAAAAGTCGATTGAGATTGTTAAAACAGAGAAGACAAGTTTGCCGGAGAAGGAGATAAGGAAGTCTAAATCTCCAGAGATTAAAGTTGATAAAACTTTGTCGGGCTCGAAGTTAACTAAGAAAATATCTCCGGATAAGGTTGTTGATAATAAGAAAGCCGAGTCGAAGAATAGTGAAGTTGATGAGAAGAAATTGAAGAAGAAAAGTGTCAAGTCGTTGAGTTTAACGAAAAATGGGTCAGTTAAATTGGAAAAAGATGAGGATAAAAAATCTGATAAAGTTAAAAAGGTCGTGAAGAAAGAAGTCATTGAGAAAGATGCTGATGGAACTAAGAAGAAGAAAATAGTTAGGGTTGTTAAAAAGGTTGTTAAAAAATCAGAAAGTTCTTCTGATAAGCCTGAAGAAAAGGAAAAAGATAAAGAGAAGAAGACTTTGTTGAAAAAAATTACCTCGAGTGTGAAAAAAGAAAGTAGTCCTGAAGCGGATAAAGGGAAGAAAATGCAAAATATTGATTCAGGATTGATAAATTGTGAAGCTTCTTCAAATTGTCTTGATAATCTTTCTAATAATATTAGTTCTGTAATTTCAAACGTTAAAGATCACAGTGAGCAAGATAATTCTAAGATATCTTCCAATGATTTAAATCCAAACATTTCTAACAATTTAGATGAAAAAGTACCCGTTAATAACATTGATAGCAAAATAATTAGCAAAAACTTTGATACAAAGACGCTTAGTAAAGATTTAGACCTAAATAGATCCGAAGAAAATACAAAAGTAATTGAGAAAAGTTCTGATTTAAAAGTTCCTAGCCAAGATTTGGACACAAAAATTGTTTGTAATGATCAAGATACAAAAATAATGAGTCAGGATTGTAATATTAAGACACCTAGTGAAGTTTTGAATATAAACAGTCCTAGTAATAATGGCTTGGATGTGATAATATCTAGTAATTTGAAAGAAGAAATGCCAAATAATGATTTAGTTAAAAAAATTTTAACTATTCATCAGGAAGAAAAGGAAGAAATTAAAGATTTGGATAGCAAAGCACGAGCAAATAGAAGTAATTTAAAGCTGGATTTATCTAAAATACCTCAACATTCATTTAAAAACGGTGCTGCAAAGAAAGAGTACATCAAAGATCCTGAATTTTCAGAAAAACCAGATAGTTCTTCGAAAATTCAGTCTATTTTAACGAAAGAAAAAGTTGTAACAGAAAAGCCACCTAAAGGAGCAGATTTTGTTCGCCAGCTTTCCATTCGGCCTGAAGAAGAGCTTAAGGTGGCTTTGAAGCCTGAGACTGAAAGAACAAAGCAAGAAAATTCAATTACATCAACTTATCCAACTGAAGACATTTTGTCGCCGATGGACGACGTGGAGAGCTTTGACTCCTGGTCAATCTGTTCCAACGACATGAATCACCGTAGCAGTTTAGACCTGTGCTCGCCTACGTCTCCAGTTTATTCTCCATCGGTTCGTAGCGAGCATTCAGAGTCAATAATTGACCGAATTCGCAGAAAAAGTTTCTACTCTCGATTTAACGAACGGAAGCGCAAGAGTTCTCTGTCTGTACCTTCTTCAGGACTTTCGCCGAGTTCAACTCTTCCTCGTAAGTTTAGCTTCCACTCTCGAGATAGTAAAAATTTGAGCTATACCTCATCTTCGAGAAGAAATCCGGAGAGGACTCACAGTTTGTACAACGAAGACTTACCCAGTATGAGAAAATCTCCCGTTGAACGTGATAGGTACTCGGACGGTTCTTATCCCAGTGATTTAAAGTCTCCCGTAGATCACTACAATACTTCTTCTTCTTCTTCTTTTTCTTTGTACTATGATCCTCTGAGACGTTATAGAATGTCTCCTGGTGATTCGGCTAATAGAAAGTACCAGAGTAATGATTATGGGCTTGATAATGACTTGAATATGTACAAAAATCCTCAGAGCACTTCTTCTTCTTCCTCTTCAACTTTAAATGATGTCAGTGATTATCGTAGTAATACGTTGAGGAAATACGGGAAAAATCAACACAAAACTGCTGATTATTATGAAGATCTTCTTGCTCCATCAAGGATTGACTATCTTTCAGCCCGAAAAACATCTCCTTTACCAACAGAACCACTGGGAAGAAATGAAAACGGACATTACAATGGGCATTTTCATCAATCAGATTCTGACAAATGGAGATACTCGGATAAAATTAACAGTCCTGATTCTCCTGAAAACAGTGATAAAAGTTGCGGAGATGATCTTAAGTAAGTTTATAAAATCTTTTTTGGTAATTATTTACAAGTGAGGTTCACTTTATTTTTGGCCATATCTACACTGAAAAAAAAATTAACTTGATTTGAATGAAAGAAAAATTCTTGAACCAGACATTTGTCTGGAATTTTGAAGAGGGTAATTGTCTTGAATCAAGACAAAAATTCTTGAATCAAATAGAATTTATTTAAATCAAGAAAAATTATATTAGTTCAAGAATTTTTTTACTCAAATCAAGAAGATTAAGTTCTTCAAAATTATATACTTGATTCAAGAGCATTTTTTTTCTGTGTAGGTGAAAAATTAACATTTTATAATTTTTATTTTTTATTCTGCTTGTTCTTACGGCGCATTTATAATAAAAAATATCGTGAAAGAAGAATATGAAGATTTCGATAGCTTTTTTGCCTTCAAAAGTTGGAAGAAATTTTGGCTTTCATGTTTTTGGATAAAATTTCTATTTTATCTTTTTTTTTTTTGATGTTTTTGATAGATTTTTTTTTTTGAAAAGTACCTCAAAAAACGAACAATTTAAAAAAAAAAAAGAATATCACAATTTTCTAAACAATTTATAAATTTTTTTGAAAATTTGTTAAAATTGTGATCTACTTTTTTTGAAATTATTCATTTTTTTATATATTTTTGAAGAAGAAAATAAATAAAAATTTAAAAAAAAAATGAAAATTAAAATGGTGTACCCCACTTGAATAATTACCTTTTTTTTTTAATCTTTACACTGAATTTTTATTTAAAATATTATTTATTGCAGGAGTAATAGTCAAACAATTGAAGAATCTAAAGAATTATCAGCAGCTTGTCCTGACGCTGAGACAACGACTTAAAGAAGAAATGATAACTTATAAAACTCGTGCCAAAAAATCTAAACTAAGGCTTTAATTGCTTGCTACATAAAATTACCGATTATAATAAAACTATTATTATTTACGATAAATCAAATGATGAAAAAAATCAAAAAGGACAATTTTTTCTATGTACTTAAAAAAAGAAACAAAAAATAATTTATAGGAAAAAGATTTTTAAAAAGGCCTGAATAGATGAAAATATTGAATTAATTTTAAAAATAGTTTTAAATAAATATATACATAAGTTTTTTTATACACATATATAAAAATATAAACAGAGTAATATTAATGGTAAATAATTATAATTGCAACGATAAAAAATACTGTTGTGCCTAGTCAATGGTAAATATACGTGATAATTCAATCTAATCATTTAATTATCAATATATAAAATAAAAATAAATATATGTATACATATAAAAAATATGAGTTGAGAATAGAAATTTTTTTATATCGCGACTGAAAGAGTTTACTTGTTTTGCCTGCAAAGAGTGTATTATTTATAATTTTCTTTTCAATTAAAAAACAATCCAGTTTTTGTGCATTTTAATGCAGCTAGTCAGCCATAGTGTAGATTTATTATTATTATTATTATTATTATTATTATTATTATTATCAATGACTCAAATGGTTTGTATCATTATAAACTTTTTAATTTTGTAGTCATTGAAAATTTATATATTATAAATTATAAATAATTGTTAACAGCTAGACCAAGGTATAGAAAATATTTAAAAGATAATTTAAGAAGAAATATAAATGCCAAAATGGTGCAAAAATAAAATACAATAATTAATTAATTAATAATGGTGCTTTTATTTTGAATTATGCGTTTATGCTTCCAGTTTGTCAGTCAATGAGCTTCCGGTATTTTGTTAAATAATTACAAAGCTTTTCCTTTATGGATTGAACTTTTTTTTATAATTATAAATATTGCAATACATTAATGAAATATTTAGAAATGTATAAATATTATTTCGTTGCAAATTAAGATATTTAATTAATTTTATTAATAAGAGTAAATGGTAATGATTATAATATAAGATAATTGAGGTTTTATTTATTTGTAACAATATTGCCTTATTAAAAAATAGAATTTTGATGGAAATGAATAATGAAAAATGAGTAAAAGAAGAAAAGAAAGTTATTGAAAGTGAGCGATGCTCAATTTTTATTAAATCTCAATTTAACCAATATTTATCGTCATGTTATGTATGTGTTTTCTATTCATATGCATATTTTAAAATAAAATATTAAAATTTACATTATTCTGATTTTTTTATTTATTTATTTAAAAAACCTTCCTTTAGAAGAATATAAAAAAAAATTTATAATTATGGATTATAATAAAATACTTTTTTACACAGAAAAATATAACAAAGACAATAAAAATGTTAAAATTTTTGAGAATTTTGTTCCAGTGATAAAAGAAAAACCTATTACAGGTAAATTTTATTCAAAATATGACTCTTCTGAAGTTGATAGTTCAAAAGTTGAGGAAGAATATATTAAATTTATTGAAAGACGTACGGAGATGCTACCAAAAGATATTTATTCATACAAGCCTCCTACTGTTAATATGGAGTAAGTACATTCAGATAAAATAAATGTTTTTTTGTTAAAATAAATAGGTCAATTTTTATGATATTGAAGTTAGCTGACAGCTGTCAATTTTTTGAATTGTTATAAAAAATTATTTACAATAATAAAAATACATCTAAAAATTTTAACTAATAATTTTTTTTTTTAAATTTTCACATGTGGAACTTTTTACTTAAATTTAATATTTTATGATAATTTTATTGTTATAAAGTTCCAAAAAAAATTATTAATCTCTGTCAATTTAATTTTTAGGTACGGGTGGTTTTCAGAGCCACTTGTACCTAGGTCAGAAGATCCGAGACTGTACTTTCCATTGAAACAAAGTGACGTCGTTAAAATTGAAATGAGAATACGTGAAATAGATAAAAATTGGGATAAATGTCGAAGAAATACTTAAAAAAAAATTTAATATTTCTTCTTTTAAATTTTAACTATTTATTTTATTAATTATTTACATACTTAATTAAATTTATATAAAATATATAAGTGGAATAAATCAATTATTTGTCAGACAATTTATTCTTTGTACTGAAAGCACGTGTTATGACATTTGGTATCCAGGCAACAGATTTAATACAAGTCTTATTAAAAAATAAAGCACAAAAAATAAGATTCACCTATCATTTATTTATTTACATAAATAAATATAAATATAAATATAAATTTATATTTTTAAAGTTAAAAATGAAGAAAATAAAATTTAAAATAAAATAATTATTTATTTTATTTAATAAAAAAATTAAAAGATGACAAGTAAAGGATTTTGTGTCAAAATTTATTTTGATCTTCACATTGTAAGTTATTTAAAATTAAATATTGAATTATTAAAGAAGAAATAAATTTTTTTTAATATTAATTTAATTATATAAATTTTAGATAAATTGTCCAGGTGTTTGGTTGTGTCCGAATGGAACAGTAGCATTGCAAATAAATAGCCTAAACTCTCACATAGAATCTCGAAAAGTGACACCAAGTTTTCCGCTTGTGCTTGACGATAAGTTTCTCTTTAAAAAAATATTTACTGAAGTCGGTACACTGACAGAGCTCGAGTGTTGCCTAGAAAATGAATTTTTTTACGCTGAGCTGATCCAATGGCCCTCTTCAGAGGACAAAGGAGTCATTTTAGCGACATTTGAAACTAATCTCGTTGATCTTCTTTACCCAGCTCCTTGCTACAGAGGACTAATGTCTGGTGTTGACGTTGACTTACTTATGGAACCTACTAAATTTTTTCCTGCAAGTTTTAATCACTATTAATAAATTTTATTATAATTTATAGGAGTGAATTTTTTTTCTAGGGAATTATAGCGCCTAAGATAGAAGTTTCTACGCGGACAGTGATAGAAGAAATAGGAATCTGTGGAGTAGATGTTGCGAGGAATATTATCAATCCGAAATTAATAAATTCAAAAGTACTTACTGTTTTTATAGTCTTGGAAATTGTAAAAAAAAGGAATTATTTTTACAGGGAAGACCGTGTATTCACCGAAAACGACCTACTGAAGGTATTCTTCGTCAGAAAAAAGTTTGTCATACTCAGGGAAGAATAAAATCACCGACGCAGCTGTAAATAAAAAATTATTTATTTACTCTAGATTTATAATTAAGAAATTACCTTGTATCTTGTGAAATATTGATGTTTTTGAAGATATAAGCTCATCCTGATGTTACACTCATGAAGAGCTTTCATTTGAGTACCCACATCAATTTTTCATATATTTTATATATTTATATATATATATGTATATATGAAAAATATATCAAAATGTATGTGGGTACTCAAATGAAAACTCTTGACGAGTGTAACATCGAGATGAGCTTATATCTTTAGAAAAGTCAATAGTTAAACAAGTACAGTGCAATTTAACAAATATCTCGTGAATTATTAGCATTTTTAAATATATAAGCTCTCCCCGATATTACATTCATCGAGACCTTTCATTTGAGTACCCACATCAATTTTTCATATATTTATATATTTATATATATGTACATATGAAAAATATATGAAAATACATGTGGGTACTCAAATGAAAGCTCTTGATGAGTGTAACATCAGCATGATCTTATATCCCTAAAAAAGTCAATATTTAAGATAGTACAGTGAAATTTAACAAAAGTCATTCTTTAAAGATTGCTAGTTATTAATTAATTGAATAATATTTTAGATGCGCATGCAGACATCAAGAATATAGAGTGAATGAATTAGTGGCATGTCCATCAGCTTCGCAGAGCGAAACTCACGTAAATGACTGTTACCAAAGATCACTGCGAAGAAACACTAAACAGACAAATTCTTATCCTTGTAAAGATTCAATCCTTGATTGCACTCCAATCCAGCAATTCCACAACTTGGATAATTGTCCAGTTTGCTCGAAATATCAGAATTACTTTTCCAAGGGCTCTCGAACAGATGCCACTCTGAGAAGTACTGATAGCCGCAAGGAGGCTTCTTATGGATCATGCGACGTGGCTAATTGCACTGAACACTCTTCAGAGACGACAATATCAGCGTAAATTTATTTTCGTTAATAATTATTAGAGTTGATAAATAAATAAACTAATTGTTCAATTAATTAATTTTCAGGATACGAAAAAGAGTACAAAATTTAAATAAAGAATATAAATTGCTTAATTAATTGCTAAAAAATTTTAATTAATACAATATTGACTTCAGGTAAATAAGTAAAACAATAACATTTATCAATTATTGTATAATTATTTTTTCTTCATTGTTACCAAACAATTTTTTCTATTTAATATTTAATATATATGTATAATAAAAAAAAAGACACGTTACAGTACTTATAATTGATAATTTAGCGAATATTTATTATGTAATTTTTTAATTGTAAAAATTTGATAAGTTACATGGAAATTACAGTAAAAAACATTTTTTATTTTTATTCGATGAATTGATATGTCTGAGATAAAATAATATTCCAGTCACAATTAAAATGTTTGTATTGCAGCTATTTAACTAGCACCAATTAATTCATCGATTTAAGTAATTAAACATGTAATATATAATAAATAAATAAATACCGGAATAAATGCACTGATGGAAATAATTTTGTTTTTTTTTTTTTTAAATAAATTGCTAGTAATTAATTTATACCAACTACAATTACTGATTCAACTTTACAACATGAAGGCATTTTTATTTATCATTTATTTATGTATAAAATAATGTAGCAAAGCGCGAACAATTATTTTGCATTATTATTATTATTAATTATAATTTATAATAAATAAATAATTATAAATTGATGGACGAAGCAGCACCAGCTGTGATAGACGCACGTTTGATTTATAATTTTAATTACTATAAATTATATCCCCAACAAAAGACTAGAGTATCTTAGTACTTATTTTCAATTATATATTAATATTTTTTTTTGTTTGTCTGTAGGTTTAAATATTAAAAAAAAAAATGCATACATATAAATTATCTTACAGTAATTGTACAATTCAACGTAAATACTGCCTCATACCTGATAAAACAACAATAAAAGATTTAAACATAACAAATTATTACTTTCTATACATATATTTGTGAAGCGATTATTTTTTTAATTGCTAAAAATATCTTAATGGTCGCTACAGTTCCAATTATTTAAATTTTTCGTTTTAAATTCGTTTTATATTGAATCAATATTATAAATAAAATAAATATTTTTTCTGAAATAAATTATCTTTCGATTTAGCCTCGAATTAACAGAACCAATTGAGTTTATATAATAAGTGGGATAATAAAAGCGGCTACTATAATTTAAATTCCGGAAAAAATAGATCCGAAAAAAATTTTAAAGTTATAAATTCATATTAAAATTATTATAAAATAAAAATTATAAATTTCTTAAATTATTGTTCTTATTTTTATTTTATAATAATTTTAATAAAATAATATGAATTTTTCATATCTTAAAAATTTTTTCCGGGTCTATTTTTTCCGATTACCAATTTAACATAATAAATAAATAAAAATTAAATTTAATAAGTATTAAATAATTAATAAATGAGTATCATTGGTCGTTAATTTGAACTAGATACTCGTTATCTAGATTCAGCGCTTGCAATCGACAAACGGAAGTAGATAACTAAAAATACAAGATATTGCACGTGTTATTTTTTTTCAAGTCAGTCGGTCAAAATAGCAAAAAACAATAAAGTCTTTATTTTCTCAATGGAGTATGATTTTTGGAGGTAAATGTATATATCTACTCAATATAAAAAATTAATTATATTTTACATTTACTAGGACACAAAACTACTCCTCCATATTTATGTTTATTAGTTTTTATACCATTGACTAAAATTTTAATTATGAAAAAATTACCATTGAGCTTGAAAATCATATCACTTGTATTATTTGTTGGTCAAATTAACCGAAGATTCGGAATTATTTAAGTACCCGAAGAAATAAAATCTTCAGTATTACAAAATGAAAAATAATTTCTCACCCTTCGTTTAAATATTATATATAATTTTAATAGTTATATTTTTACTAATTAAGATAATCGACTACATGTACAATTACCACTGTCACCAATTGATGTTGTTTTTCCGTTTATTGAAGTAGCATTTGTCTCGTATCTCGGTAGTTCTTTACTTCGTGCTTGCTGTAATTATAAATTTAAAAAACACCATCATTATTTAGATAGATAATTAAGAAATGACCTTGTATCTTGTGAAACATTGACATTCATTTGAGTACCCACATCAACTTTTCATATATATATTATATATATAAATGCATGTGGGTACTCAAATGAAAGCTCTTGATGAGTATAACATCGGGATGAGCTTATATCTCTAAAAATGTCAATATTTAAGAAACTACAATGCAAGTTAACAAAAGTCCATTATTTAATAAAGCAAAATTTTAATTTTTTTTTAGTTCACAAGTCACGGCAATCATATATGTAGTGACTGCAAGGTTGCTAGTTTACTATTACAGGCTGAATAATTTAATTGAGAGATTACCTCCATAAGCTCAGCAGCTATTTCCATAAATAATCTCTCAACATTCTCAGCTTCTTTGGCAGAGGTCTCCAAAAAATACATCCCATGCCTTTGAGCAAAGTCTTCACCTACATGAGTTGGAATTTCTCTGTCTTCGCGGTCAATTTTATTACCTAAATTTAATTAGTAATATTAAATTTAGCTAATACTGATTTTTGGAGTAAATATTAAAAAAAAAAATTGTTTTATTTACCAACGAGTATCCTCAATACTTTATTACTCGCATACTCTTCAATTTCTCTTAACCAGTCAGGTAGACAATCAAATGTCGGCTGACAAGAGATGTCATATACAAGAATAAGTGCATGAGCAGATCTATAGTAACTTTGAGTTATAGACCTGAAACGTTCTTGACCTGCAGTATCCCAAATTTGCAACTAAAATTATCAATAAATATTTTATCAGTATTCTGTCTACAGTATATAAATATAAAATGAAAATTAAATTAGTCGACATTGTCTGAAAATTGTTATAAAAATATTCAAAGAAAAAATTTCACAAATTAAAGATTTAAAAAATTATCTGTATAATATTTTTTAAGTATTTTTTTAACTTGTAATTTAATTGATAAAAAAAAATTGTTGAATGTCGGCTAATTTAGCATCATAAATATACAATACACATTATTTGTGAGTTATTCAACACTTTCTCCAGTAAATCAAGCATTAAATAATTTATATGCATATTAATTATAATCGGAATCAAGGTTGAATTACCTTGACTTTCTCATTCTCTACTTCTACAGTCTTAATCATAAAATCTACTCCAATAGTAGCTCCTTGTCCAGGAGGAAATAATCCCTAAAAATAAAAAATATATTTAATATTTTAATTAATATTAATACTGATGTAATAATAAAAATTACCTGAGTAAATCGACGAACTAAACAAGTCTTTCCGACACCAGCATTCCCAACGAGCACAACTTTGAACAGAAATTTATAATCCTCCATCGCATTTAAGAATCTTCAAGACAATAGCAGAAGACTTGGACTGCTCACAAAATAATTGTTTTATTTTTTTTAATATTCAACTCTCTCGTTTTTTTTTTATTGCACCATTAAAGAACACTTTTCTTGTTTGTTAACCTTGACGGTGATCTCACTAGTTGTGAAATTTCCCCTTAAATGTGTGTTTGGAGTTATTTCTATCGCTCCTTCCAGAACAACAATAACAAAAATAAGACAATAATGTCATACAAAAATAACAACCACTTTCATTATTAATGACAGCTTATTTTACAACTTTATTTATTTAAATAACAACACACATACATTCTGACATTCTGCTGTCATTTAATTATCGAATCACTGTCTTTACTATTATTATTATTGTATATGTCAGTCACTATTAAATTATAACAGTTTAACTATTATATCTACTGTGTATTTCCGTATATGTAGGCCCAATCACTCCTACAACTCGTTACTGTGTTACTTGACGTTACCTGACTAGACGTCTTGGTACTCTTGGTAGTAATTTCTTCAGTTTTTTATATTTTTTTATTATCATCATCATTATTATTATTATTATTATTATTTTCAAGTTACTTATGTCAAGTTTTCATTTAATGTTCGATACTCATGAAAATAAGTCCAAGTGTGGCGCCACTAGTGTGAGATTAGTTAAATACGTACTTAACCTATATAAACAGACAATTACAAGATAGAAGCCGTAGCACCAACGTGTTTGTAATTAATTTCGCGAATATAAATAAAAATATTTATTAAAAAGTAAGTAAATTAATAATAATAAAGTTAACCGACATTTTTAACTTTTTTTTTTTTATTTATTAAATTGGAACAAAAAAATGTTTATTAAAAATTGCACTTAGAGCCATTTTTTCAATCCAGGATAAAATTTTATCTAATGATAAAATATATCTATATATTCCATACAATAATAATACTTTTATCCTGAATTAAAAAACTGGACTTTAAAGTTTTTTAATTGATGAAAATTAAAGTAGCTGATACTTAATAATTATTAAAATTTTTTTATGACATTAAAGTGAGCAGTCAACAATTTTTAAATTTTATTTATCCAAAAAATTATTTTTCAAAAATTGAATTTTTTATTTTTTTTTGATTTCTATGTTAATTTTTTTTGCTATATAATTTATTTATTATAAAATTTTAAAAATTATTAAATATATGCTAAATTAATTTTTATAATTTTTTTAAGAAATATATTACTGGAAAAAAAAAATTGACATGTAGAAATTTAAAAAAATACACTTTTTTAAAAATAATTTTTTTGTTAAATAAAATTAAAAAATTGTAAAGTTACAGCTAACTTTAATGGAATTTTAAATTTTTTTACAAATGAAATTTTTTTGTAATAATTTTTTCAATAAAAGTAATTAATTTTAGTATTATAATAAAAAAAAAATTAATAAATATTTATTTAATGTTTTATTATTACAGAAATGGATGACGAAGCGGAAACTTACAAATTATGGAGAATTAGAAAGACAATAATGCAACTTTGTCACGATCGAGGTTATTTGGTAACTCAAGATGAGTTGGATCAAACACTAGAGCAGTTTAAGGATCAGTTTGGTGACAAGCCCAGTGAAAAAAGACCTGCAAGAAGTGATTTGATTGTCTTGGTAGCGCACAACGATGATCCTACTGATCAGTTATTTGTTTTCTTTCCCGATGAACCGAAGATTGGAATCAAGACCATAAAAACTTACTGTCAACGTATGCAGGAAGAAAAGATCCACAGGTACTTTGATTTAATAATTATATTAATATTTTTTTAATTTATTTATTGTAAATTATTAAACTAATTTTATTATTTCAGAGCGATTATTGTTGTTCAGTCAGGAATGACCCCCTCTGCTAAACAGTCATTGAGTGACATGGCTCCAAAATACATTTTAGAGCAATTTTTAGAATCAGAACTTCTTATAAATATAACTGAGCACGAGTTGGTTCCTGAACACATTGTCCTGACTCCTGAAGAGAAAGAAGAATTGCTGAGTCGTTACAAGCTGAAAGAAAACCAACTGATGAGAATCCAAGCGGGTGATCCTGTTGCTAGATACTTTGGTCTCAAGAGAGGACAAGTCGTTAAAATTATTCGGCCATCGGAAACTGCTGGTCGTTATATTTCCTACCGACTTGTTTGTTAATCAATTTATTATTTCTTATATTAAATACCTTTTACTTGTAATTTAATTATAAAGATGATGTTCAATAAATATTTATAATTTTATACAAGACTTACTATCCCTTTTTTTAACTACCAAATATTGTTTAAGATAAGTTATATTTATTTACAAGAATTTTTTAATTGTAATTTATAATTTATAATTTTTTTTAACAAACAATTTTGTTCCAAAAAATTATTAAAAAAGATTGCATTTTTAATTATTTAAAAATTTTACATGTTAATTTTTTTTTTTACATTATTTATTTGTTAAAAATATTCTTAAAATTATCAAATATCTGCTAAATTAATTTTGATTATTTTCATTCAATTTTTATGCTAGTACTTTTAGTAAAATTTCGGTAGCTCATTTTAAAAATAATTATTTATTGATAAAAAAAAAAAATCGTATTTTTTTAACTCAGAAATTTAAAAACTCCGCCTTTTAATTTTTTTTAACACGCGTGTGTAGTAATGAAGCTTAATTGGGAAAGTTATCGTCTGCGTACTGTGAACGCTAGTGTCGTGTTTTTTGGCTCTCCCTGCCACAGGAGCTAATGCCTTCAGCAGACGTAACCGAAACTCTGTATATACTGTATATGGAGTGTGTAGGACTGACTGTATTTATTGACTAAATTTTAGAGCTCGCTTTCGTGTTATTAAATTAATATATTTTCATTTTAAAAAATGTCTCTTTCTTGCTCGAGTAAGTTTATTAAATTTTTTTTATCTTCTATATGTACATAAGAATAAAATCGAACACATTTTTTATTAACCCCTACGGAGAATTGTGTTAATTTTATAAGCCGGCGTTATAACCTCAAAATTATTTAGCGTTTTTATAGCTAAATAAAATTAATCTTTTTTTATTTTTTTAATTTTCAGTTTGCAATGAAGTACCAGAGCATCCCGTGATTTCACCAATATCGGGACATATTTTTGAAAAACGACTTATAGAAAAATATATTACCGAAAATGGAGTCGACCCAATAAATGGAAAAGAGTTGACCATTGAACAACTCATTGAAGTAAAAGGTTTGTATTTTAACATCAAAGCGCTCACATAATTAAAAAAAATTTTTTTAACAAAATTTACTCCAAAAAATTATTAAAAAAAAATTGAATTTTCAATTTTTTTTTATTTCTGCATGTAAATTTTTATTGCTACAATTGATAATTGTTTGAATTTTTGTAACTAATAAATTTCAGCAAAAAAAAGGAGAAAAAAATTGGCATGTCGAAATAAAAAATGCAATTTTTTAAAAATAATTTTTTGGAGCAAATTTATTTATTAAAAAAAAAAAAAAAAAAAACTAAAAAATAATCAAATGACTGATAATTTTAATGTCATTAAAAATTCTGAAAATGATCACAAATATCAGCTAAATTAATTTTCAATTTTTTTCTGTAAAATTAAAAAATTATTGTTGAAAAATTTTATAAAATTGATTTAATAAATAAAATAAATTTTTTATCCAGCTTCGCCAGTAGTAAAGCCGAAGCCTCCTAGTGCTACGTCGATTCCAGCGATCCTAAAAATATTGCAAGATGAATGGGACGCAGTGATGCTTAACTCATTTACAGTACGAGGACAATTACAGACAGCGAGACAGGAATTGTCTCACGCACTTTACCAACACGATGCGGCTTGTCGTGTTATTTCAAGATTAACTAAAGAAGTAACAGCGGCGCGTGAAGCTCTGGCGTCTTTGAAACCACCCAGTGGCATTACTCAAGCGACAGCAATTCCACAGCCAGCTATTGCAGTTGAAGCTGGTGGAATAGCTGCACAGCCTGTTGAGCAAGCGGGAATAACCGAGGATATTATTCATATACTCCAAGAAAAGGCAACAGTATTGACACAAGAGCGAAAGCGACGAGGAAGATCAATCCCAGAAGATCTGTTGCCTGCTGAAAGGATCCGCGAATTTCAAACGATTGCATCACATCCTAGTCTTCACTCGGCTAGTGTTCCTGGAATTTTGGCTCTAGACATTCACGCATCTGACACCAGCAAAATTCTGACTGGAGGCGCTGATAAAAATGCTACAGTATTTAACAAAGACACCGAACAAGTGGTGGCTATTTTGAAAGGACACACCAAGAAAGTTACGAAAGTTGTTTATCACCCTGAAGAAGATGTTGTGATGACCGCATCACCCGATACAACAATACGTATATGGAACGTTGGAACAAGCCAAACTACGCTGTTACTCCGCGCTCACGATGCTTCGGTTACTGGTTTGTCTTTGCATCCTACTGGTGATTATTTGCTGAGTTCATCTTTAGACAACACTTGGGCTTTCTCCGACATACGTACTGGTAGATTACTGACCAAGGTAATGTTAAATGATAAATATAAGTATTTAGGCTGCATTCGAAAATGCTCTATCTCTATATATATATATAATCAAAAAATGACCTTGTATCTTGTGAAATATTGGCATTTTTTAAGATATAAGCTCATACCGATGTTACACTTATCAAGACCTTTCATTTGAGCACCCACATCATTTTTTCATATATTTTATATATTTATATAAATATATAAATGAAAAATATATCAAAAATACATGTGGGTACTCAAATGAAAGGTCTCCATAAGTATAACATCAGAATGAGATTATATCTTTAAAAAAGTTAATAGTTAAGACAGTACAATGAAATTTAACAAATATCTTGTGAAATATTGACATTTTTAAAGATATAAGCTCACCTTGACATTACATTCATCGAGACCTTTCATTTGAGTACCCACATCGATTTTTCATATATTTTATATATTTATATATTCCACAAATACCATATATATATAAAATATATAAAAAATGCCACGTGGGTACTCAAATGAAAGATCTCGATGAGTGTAACATCGGGATGAGCTTATATTTTTAAAAAAGTTATTAGTTAAGACAGTACAGTGCAGTTTGACAAAATTCATTATTTAATGAAGCAAAATTCTACTTATTTTATTAGGTTGCAAGTCCAGAAGCATTAACAGCAGCACAATTTCACCCTGATGGTTTGATTTTTGGTACCGGAACCGCTGATTCTCAGATTAAAATTTGGGATCTCAAAGAACAGTCGAATGTAGCGAATTTCCCTGGACATGTTGGAGAAATAACTTCAATAACATTCTCAGAAAATGGTTACTACTTGGCGACCTCGGCAGAAGATTCCTGCGTCAAACTCTGGGATTTAAGAAAGTTGAAGAACTTCAAGACACTACAGCTCGATGACGGATACGACGTTAAAGATTTGGCTTTCGATAAAACCGGAACTTACCTAGCTGTTTCTGGTACAGATGTCAGGTAAAGTATTTTATTATTGTCTCATTATTTTTTTATATCATTTATATTAGTTGATCAACATTTAAGTTACTAATAAAATTAATTAATTGTTTCAGAGTTTATTTATGTAAACAATGGCAAGAACTAAAAGTATTTAACGACCATACGGCTGCCGCAACTGGTGTAAGATTTGGCAAAAACGCGCAATACATTGCGTCCACAAGTATGGACAGGACATTAAAATTGTACGGGCTGTCCTAAGAAATATACTTTATATTCACAAACTATAAATTAACTTTATTCTTACTTGTTAATTGAAAATTAAATAAATTTAGGAAATAAACTTTTTTCAATTCTTTGACATAAATTACCTGTTGTTCTTATTGATCCAAAATATTAAACCTTGTAGTAATTTATTGTAATAAAATTATTTAATTGCTTAATTGAACCTACCAATCTGATGACATGAAAAATTTTTTTAATTAATTAAATTAAAAATAAATATTTTTAAAAAAATTGCACTCATAGTTTTTTAAATTTTTAACATATGTTATTTTTTTTTTTTTAATAAAAAAAATTCTAAAAACCTCAGATGTTTGCTAATTTTATTTTCATATAAAATATGACATTAAAGTTAGCAGATAGTTCACAATTTTTTTATTTTATTGAACAAAATTTGTTCCAAAAAATTATTTTTAAAAAATTGAATTTTTTAGTTTTTTTATTTTCTACATGTCAATTTTTTTGCCATAATTTATTATGAATATAAAGTTAGCCGACATCTAAAAATTGTTATGATTTTTTTTATTAAAAAATTATTACAAAAAAATTAAAAAAAAATTTTTTCATTTATTAAAAACTTCAAAAAATATAAGAACAATTTTTTAAAAATATTTTTTAGTTATAATTTACATCTAAAAATTGTTATGATTTTTTTTATTAAAAAATTATTACAAAAAAATTAAAAAAAAATTTTTTCATTTATTAAAAACTTCAAAAAATATAAGAACAATTTTTTAAAAATATTTTTTAGTTATAATTTAATAAACTAAGCAAAATAAAAAAATAAAAAATGTCGGCTAACTTTATTATTATTAATTTATTTATTATAAAATTTTATAAATTATTAAATACATGCTAAATTAATTTTCAAGCTGAAAATAACAAAATTTATTTATTAATTTAATCACATATATAGATTAACGTTTCTTGTCAAACAAAAATATGACACTGCATTTTGCAGTAATTACAAACTTTTTAGAATTTTTTGCAATAAAAAATTATTAAGCAAAAAATTTAATTATAAAATTAAAAAAATTAACATTTATTAGCTAATTTTATTTAATAATTTTAATTCTCCAAATTTTAAAAATAATTCCTTAAGGCAAGTATCCAATCACAAATCATGTTGGTTATTGAAAACCGGAAAACGCCATGTTTAACAAAAAAAAGAGGGCGCCACTTACATCCTTGCTTGCTTGCTTGCTGAAAGAGTCCAAAGGGGAATGGTCGAGTCGACATTTTGAGTATAGACTCAGTTAACAAGCAATCGCCGCATTTAATATTTGTTAATTTCTTTTTTTTTTTTTATACATCTCCTGGTGCAGTTTTTATTACAACTCCAGTGTACATTATCAACAAAATGGATAATTGAGGTAATAGTCTATTTCATATCTCTTCTAACAAATTATTTTGACTGTTTTTTTTATAAATAAATACGTTAAGAAAATGTGGTGTGACTATTTATATTTCGACTCGCTGTATATAGTGAAAGTGGTTACAAGTTACAACAACGAGCGTTAATATTTTTAATTTTATTGTATAATTATAAATATCACAAATATATTTCTACGTCGTTGATAAAAAGTTTATAATAATTAAACGTGACTTAGATATATAAATAATTGGTTGGTTTTAACGTTTATCGCTGTACGTATTATTTTTTTTACGTCTAATATCACTGATAAAGTACAAGCTTGTTTCGAGGTTGCGCGGATCCGAACCAGCTGCTATTATATAAATATCTTATTACCTTTCTTATAATACCTTTTTTTTTACTCAATAATTTAGTTATAACATTTTAATTTATTTATTTTATTCACTTAAGAAATTTTTTTTGTCATTTAAAAATGTCGTATAATTTTTTAACGTAGAGTACGACAAAAATAATAATATACATTAGCCTAGGATTACTTAGAAATGCGTAACGACGCATTAATGATTTAAAAAGTCAATTTTATCATTATTTATTTTTTTTTTATTTTTTTAACACTAAATAATATTATTTTCTGTATATAATTTAAGTAAATAAGATAACTTGCATTTGTTTTTTTTTCCTGAATAACAATAATAATAATAATCAAAATAATTTGTGACGAAACGCATCACCACGTGTTTAATTAAAATACCAAATAATGATGCAACCTTGACTTGTAATAAATTAATTGTAATTAATTAATTAATGAATGAATGAGTTTATTTATAATTAAAAAATTAAATACTATTTTTATTTGTTTTTTTAATTTAGATTTTCATCATAAATCCGGATACGTTTAAAGGATCATCGACTGCTTAAGTATATTAACCCTAAATATTTAAAAATGACTAGAATGGCGGCTAACAAGTCAAAGGAAATAATAGACGAGTACAGTTCGTCGCTTGCGGACTTAAAATTTAACAGCAAGCCTCTGATAAACATGCTCACGATGTTAGCAGATGACAACGTTGAACATGCACCAGCCATCGTCCAAGCGATTGAGAATCACTTGTTACAGGTTATTAATCAACTGTAGTTAAATTTAACTAAAAAAAAAAAAAAAAAAAGCCATATATTTATTAATTAATAATTAAATTATTAAAAAAAAAAAAAAAAAAATTGTCGCATGTCGATGCAAAAGACGGATTAAATGGATTTTCTATCAAGAGGGCTGTTTTTATATCTTTATCCATAAATTTTTAAAATAATACCGAAACTAATAGTCTTTCTTAATATTTAAACTTTATACTGCACGTTATTACTGCGTTGTTATAATTATTACTCAGTATATAATTTAAAAAAAAAAACAAACGCGTGTACGGACTGATTTAACAGCTCCATTGTAAGGGAGACTGTTGTATACCTGAGTCCGTTTGTGCCATGTACATTTTTATTTCTACATAAACTTTAAGTTAATTAATTGTTACTTTATGGATTAATATTATTAATTATTAAGTCGTTTGTTTTTAAATAATTTTTATTCTATGATTATTCTTTTACTATATTCTGTATTTACTGTCAATTAATCCGTCTAATATGCACGGATATATATATATATTAAAATAAGTTGCTTTGTATTTCTATATTATAAGAAAATATAATTTCCACAGAAATATGATCTATATTTATATTTAAATATCTACTTATATATATATGCGTTTTTTTTTTTAAATTATTTTTCGGGGGAATGCGGTGGGGGCTTTTGGTGAAGTGACGCAATGAGAATATTTAAGAAGTGGTTCATTGGTCAGCTGTAGTGAAATGGATTTTCAAATATTCAAGTTGAAAACAAAAATATAAATAAATAAATAAAAAAAACGAAAGTAAAAAAACAAAATAGTAAGTTGTTGTGTTTTATTATTAGGTTTCAAGTGAAGTCAAACTGCCGGTCCTTTATCTCATCGACTCGATCGTCAAGAATGTCAGTGGAGCTTATTTAAAACTCTTCACTGATAAAATTGTTAATATATTTTGTAGTGTCTTTGAGAAGGTAATTGTTTTTTTTTTTTTTTTTATCTTAAGTGATAATGATTGTAATAATAAATTATAAGAATCAAGGACAACAATTCGATGGAAACTTGTGTTTTAAATCCGCTTTGTTCTGGTGATCATTCTGGAGTTCGCTATAAGATTCATTAAAAATTCAATGATTTATAAGATAATTGGAAGGCTCAAGAACGTCGACCTCTTCTTTTTCTTCTAGAATCAATATAATTCTTGAGCTGACGAGTTACGATCGAATAGTTATCACTGGTTCTTAAGTCATATCTATAGACATAAATAAAAATGTGTATGTTTGTTTAAATAGGTCGATGAAAGTACAAGATTATGCATGTGGAAATTACGACAAACTTGGGGTGAAGTTTTTCCTGCTAAGAAATTATTTTCACTCGACATACATGTCCGTAATATAGACCCAGCGTGGCCAGTACCTAACTCATCTGTTTCATCGGGTTCTATTCATTTAAACCCACGTTTTTTAGCTGGGGTAATTATTTTTATATTTTATTAACGATTAACATCATTTAATATGATATTTTTGTGATTGATTTGGTAAATATTTATAATTGGGGTTCACCCTATTTTTAGTTAATTAAAAAAAATTTATAAATTAAAAAAAAATATATCAATACAATCAAATATGAATTTCGTTAAAAAAAATTAAAATTAAAATAATGGACTCCAATTGTAAGTAATTACCATTGATTTTTGATGATAAATTATTATAATTTTTTTTTAGACTCCGACTACACCACCGACAACAGTCTCTGCACCTAGCGTGATACCTTCTGTAAAAATTCCTCCCGGAGACCACCCAGTATCTGTCAATGAAGCTTTGATGCGGGAGCAATTACTTAAGAAACAGAAAGAACTTCTTGAGTTACAGAAGCAAAAAGTAGAATTGGAGTTGATGCAAGCCAAGTCAAGTCTTGAACAGCAGCAGAAACAAACGGCTCTAGTCAAAGCTGAATCGGTACGTTTAGCTAAAAAATTCAATTTAATTTACCCATGTGCATTAATAACAATAAAAATAAAAATTATTTGTCCAGTTGACATCATCACTCACCCTTAACGAAGTCAAACCGGAAAAAGTTGTAGCTGCAGTGTCTAATCAAGTGAATAAACAAGTAGCGAAGCAGGTAAATATTTGAATTATGTTTTAATAAAAAAATTTTTATTAATTGAATACCGGAAAAAAATTTTAAATTATGAAAAATTCATATTATTTCATTATAATAATAATAATAATAATTATTTATTTATTTTATAATAATTTTAATGAAATAATATAAATTTTTCATAATTTAAAAATTTTTTCTTGTCTATTTTTTCTGATTGCCATATTAATTGTATGATATTATTAGTTTCCAGCAGCGAATGCATCGTTATTAAAAAATGTGGGTGCTAACAACGGACCTCGGATAGCGCCAGCGAGCAGTCTAATGGTAGCTTCAGCGCGTCCAGTATCACGGGATCCCCGTCTAAAAATTTCTTCAGGAGCAGAGCTACAAAACTGTGATATAGAGTCTCGTCTGCGTCAAGTAGCTGCGTTATCTTCATCGTCATTAACAAACGATATGCCGTCTAAAACACAATTATCAAAGAATCAACATCCCGCGTTAAACACTGTACTTTCAGATCACGCAATAAAACAGCAATTATTATTATCGAAACAAGCAATGAATCACATAAGTGAATCGAATCAAAGTGGTGGTGGCCTTAAGTCATCATCATTAACATCTTCTCTCGCGTCAAACAATTCTGCAATTCGTGGTGTTGGTAGTGGTGGAAGTGGAGGAAGCGAGGCCAAATCTAAAGACGCTAAGAGCTCGTCGTCTTCACGCGGCGGTTCTTCAGCATCTTCTGCAAAAGATGAAAAGTCATTCGCTTCCTCAAAATCCTCCTCGTCACACAGAAAATTAAGCAACAGATCGCGGTCAAATTCAAAACAATCCCAAGTATCACCCACAAAGGCTTCATCGTCATTATCTTCATCAATATCATCATCATCATCTTCATCATCATCAAAAATAGTCGATCGAGATGCAAGCCCTGTTAGGTCAAAATCTCGTGAAAAAGATAACTCTGACAGCTCTCCAACCATATCCTCACGTACTTCACCCAATAAATCCTCATCACCTAATTCCAAGAATCGTAAGAAGAGTAGTAGTAAATCGAGAAAACGTACTCCTAGTCCGCCTTATAAAATTCCGCGTAGAAATATTGATTCAAAAACATCTAATTTATCTACGAATTTAACTTCCTCCCTGCAATCATCTTGTTTGATTAGCGGTGGGGTTAATAGTGCTGCTGCTGGTCTTATTGAGGAAGAGCAGTCTGGTTCCTTGATTGTATCTCCTCCACATCCGCCTACTTTTAAAGAAATACGACCAAATGCCAGACAGAGAAATTATATTAAACGCAACAACAAAGACATCGGCAGTCATAGTCCTGATAATAATTCTAGTCAGGATCTTTTGAGTACTCAGGTTACCCCAGATCTTTCAATCGAATCAGCAGCTAGTAAGGATGAAGATCTTCGGGCTGTACTACCACCGCCAGTCACCATCGTCCCGCCAATCACTGAAAAAAGTAAGTTTACTCATTCAAAATCGTTTTTTTCTTTCTAATAATATTAATTATATTTTTTTTTTTTTTTAATGGAGCAAAAAATATTTCTTAATTATTTTTTTATTTTTTAGAAGAAGACTTAGATCTACGCGTATTAGCACCACCACCACTACCACTACCAACTAATAAAAGACAAAGCTCAGAGCACGGTGATTCAAATAGTAAAAAATCTAAAACGGAAAAATTCGATACGTAAGTATTTAATATTATTTTATCATATTATGATAATCCTGGAAATAAAATTTTTCTCATTCTCTTAATAATATAGATTAAAAAAAAAAATAACATATTTTATAATTATTTATTATTATTACAGTTTATTTGGTAATGAAGATGTCGATTTAAGGACCTTGACGAATCCAAAAGCCGGACGACCACCGACTCCACCACCGCCAGTAATATCGGGTGAAGAAAATAAAACAAGCTGGGCTAAATTAAAAACAACATTTAAAAATGACCGTGATAAATCAACAATAAATGAAGATAAACGCGATCGAGATCGCACTAAAGATCGTTCGTCTAGAAGTCGACCTTACAATAAACCATCTGACGATCCAAAAGACCGTCGACGTCAATTTATCAATGACGATGATTCAAGGTCTAGCCGAAGAAATCGCGACTTCGACAAATTAGATCGTAATTCCGAGCGTAGCATTGAAATAATCATGAAACAAGCTGAGGAAGAATTGAAACAGGGTTCAATGACTAAAGCCGACTACCACACATTGATCCAGAATGTTTGGCAGATGAACGAGGTTCAAAAATTAAGAGTAGCCCAGAAAAAGGACAAAGAGACCGGTGCGAGTATTTGGGAAAAAGGAATTGACATCAGCGGTGGCTTCAGTCCTAAAGACGACATAGGCCACCGAGGCAAAGATCATCCACATTCAAGAAACGGACCAAGATGGCAACCTCCAGGTCCTTGGCAACCACCAGGCCCCTGGGCACCTCCACCTGGACCAGCTTTTGGAAATCCATTCAACCCGGACTTCCGACCAATTGGCCCCTGGCAAAATCCTCGACAATTTGGACCAATGCGGCCCGACTTCAATCAATTCCACGGCTTCAATTCTGGAATGGGTCCACGTATGGGCCCTGGTCCCGGTTTGATGGGTCCTATGGGTCCCAACGGGCCTATGATGCCTGGAATGATGCCTAATGGACCCATGGGACCAATGGGTGGAATGTCAAATCCCGGTATGGCTAATATTAATGGCCCACCTAGTCTTTTAATGAATGGCCCTCATCCACCTCACAATAATTTAATGACCCACGTTCCTCCACCTACTCGGAACATCTCTCCCAACTCAATCTCCAGATTTGACAATGAAGAAACCCAAAACTTCATGGACAAGCTTACTAAAGAACACGGCGGTCCCAGTCGTGAACTACCTCTACCTGATTCAAAACTTTTAGAAGAAATAGCCAACGACACAATGAAATCAATTAACATCGACAATATACCTCGTGAAATTCGCTACTACGGACAAACTGCAGTTGTATTTATGAACTGGGATGACCCAAGAGAAATTGGTTTCCAAAATGGCTCGAGAAGAATTATGATTGACGAAAAAGACACTATTATTTGCTCTTTCAATGAATCTTATAAGGAGTTTGTCTACGACGGAAAAATACACAGGATAAGACTTGGAGCGCCGACGAGAGAGTTGTTCGTCGATGACAAGTGGTACGAGTGTTACTTCGGTGGTCCACCGGTGCTTGTTGACTTAGGAAATAAAAAAATTAATATTAATTTAGAAGGCCCACCTCCTCAAGTTAAAATTGGAACTGTTAAGCGAACTGATTTGGTAATAGGTAAAATAAATCTTATTATTAACGCTAAAAATATGACGCCAGTGTTTGTTGATGCTAAGCCACAAATGTTTGAAATTGACAATCAACCTCAGACTCTTGAGTTTGCCGATTCTCTGGAGACTATTTTACTTAATGGCAGACCATTTAAAGTTGAATTTGGTGGACTGCCTAAGCCAATAATTGTTAGGGACAAAAAGCACTTTATCAGATTCACTGTCTTGCCTAGAGGAGCTCATCCTGGGTCTGTTAAAATAGCTGGCATGAAAGGAAAGTGTCCGGAATCTTCAGCTAGTGATAATAATAACAAATTAAGTGACTCTGCTGTTCCAATTTTGGGACTGGGTCTTCCTGAACCAGACTCGACTTCTCAAGATGCGTCGGATGTTTCTTTGGTGAAACCTGACTTACAGTTGGACATGCTTTCATCGGCACTTTCTTCAGCTATGGCTCCCTCGTCTGGATTTTCGTATCAAGCTGAACCTATGGAGAAACCTCCTGCACCTACGCCAGTTCCTATTCTGCCGCTTAATCTTAATCTTAATGAACTTTATCAAAAGTTGGTTGATACTGGAATAGTGCCGAGACAAGGTCCCAAGGTTGAGGTCAACAAACCGGAAGAAGAAGTTGTTAAGAAAGAACCTGAGTTACCTCTTCCTAGCTTAGATAAACCTGAGACACTTAAAATTGTACGGCCTATTAATTCTACTTCGATGTACGGTGGTATGCAATGCAGTTCTTGCGGCGCGAGGTTTGCTCCGGAATTGGCGACAAGGTACAGTCATCATCTTGATTGGCACTTCCGGCAGAATAGAAGAGGGAGAGATTCTATTAAGAAAGCTCAGTCGAGGGAAATTATGTATGAAATTAGTGACTGGAATCAGTTTGAAGAAATTGAAGATGTTGATGATAGAGGTAAATTATTTTCATTATTAATTAATTATACTAAAAATTAAAAAATTATATAACTAATAAATAAAAATAATTTTATTTTTACAGCACAAAGTTGGTTTGAAACCGAAAAATTAACTGCAGAAACAGAAGCAGCCAATGGTGAAGATTCTTCACAAGATGCCATACAACCAAGTGTACCTGCAAGCAGTGATGATGATTGTCGCTGTCAAGTCTGTCATGACACTTTTGAACAATTTTATAACGAAGAAAAAGAAGAATGGCATTTAAGACCAGCTGTTAGCTTTGAAGATAAAAATTATCATCCTCTGTGTCTGGAAGATCATAAGGTATATTTCTTCTTCTTTTTTTTTTTTTTTTTTTTTTTTACCACTGTCTTATAATAATAATAATAATTAAATTTAATTAATCTACTAATAATTGTAACTAATTTTGGATTTATACTTACGGTGGTTATATATTTTTTGATATAGTTAATACATGATATAATGGATATATCGAATAATATTTTTATTTTCTTCACATTCTTACGCAAATAGGAAAAGTGTCTCGCGGTATGTTGCTCCTTATTAATTATCATGGTTAAACTTCCTGTTTGTAGATGATCATAAATCATGACTTATTGTTTTTCCATGACCACATATTTATCACGTTTGTTTTTGATTTTTAGAGTAGTGTAAAACCTATCATGCTGTCCATTTTATTATTTAAATTATATTATTGAAGAATTGAATTTTTAATATGTGTTATTATTTTATTGTAGCGTGCTTTAGCAAAGTCAGCGTTGGAAGAAACGATAAATGAAGACGAAGAAAAAAAAGATGACCATAATGAATCAGTTGAGTCTCCGGAATACATGGAAACGCCGATTGGTAATCTTCCAAGCGATGAAAAATTGGAAAGTGAAGAATTGAAATTAAATGAGGATGAAGAGTCAGAAGACAATAATATTTCTCAAGAAATATCTGAAGATAATAATGATAAAGATAATCTTGATGAAAAAATGGTTACTGATAATACAGAAGATAGTATCAAAGATGAAGAAGATAATGTAAATGAAGAGACTAATGATGAAATTAAAACTTTTGATCAATCAGAAGATCAAGAACTGAGTACACAATCAGATGATCTTTTTGAAGTGCCTGTGGAAACTGAATTTAAAATTAAAGAAGAACCTATGGAGGTCAATGATACAGAAACAGATTCAGAAATAAATTGGGACAATGTGGAAGTCAAAACTGAACCAATTGATCCTGAACCTGGTAAATTTACTTTTCTAATAATTCATTTATTTTTCTTTTAATTAATACACTATAATTAGTTGAGCAAGTGTAAATTTTTTTGAATTAAATTTATCACGAATATATTTACTTTCATCCCTAAGTTTTTTAAAAATATTTACATGAAAATTAATCTAGCAGATATTTGATCATTTTAAGAATTTTTTTAACAAATAAATTATATTAGACATATTTAAATTTCGTACCTATTAAAAAAAATCAAGCCTTTCATCAAAAGTTGCCTTGGTGCTCGTATTATCTTTTAATTAAAATTTAGCTTGATTTATTATTGATAATTGATAATTAATCTATATTTTTTTTTTCTGTCTCAGAACCTGAAGAAATGAAAGTAGCGGACATTGCTGCGCAGGTGGACACCACCCTGACGGCAGTGACCAGTTCACTGGACGGTAATGTTGAACTGGAGTCAACTCCCGCAACACTGCCCACTGCATCTACGCGAATAAAGATAAATATTTCTAAGCCACTTGTTGTAAATAAAGAGCCAGAGGAACCTAAAGAAAAAATAGTGTTACCTGAAACGCCTAGCGAGGAAGAATTACCACTAAAACCAGCATCTATTAAGTCAACACTAAAAGGTAGGAAACTTTCTATCCTGCCACCCGTAGAAAGAGGCCAAGAACTCTCGGGACTTTGTTCGATAATGTAAATAACAATAGTTATATAACTAATAATTGATTAATTATTTATTAATTTTTGGTATTGACAATACTGCCGGATAAGTATCGCAAAGTCGTTTTTAAAATAATAAGTCAGCAAGTATTTTGAATAGCTTACTCGCGTTTTGAATATACCAAATTAATTTGACTATTTGTTGTATATTGAATTAATATTCAATATATTTGTAATTTTTTGTAAAACTTGTATGGTCTGATGTCTATTTTTATACATAATAATTGTTGATTTTTTCTATTTTTCTTTTTGCTTAATTGTCACTCACGTACAATTAATTACTTTTTTTTAACTTTAATATTTAGTTAATTGACTGTTTCTTATTTTTTATTTTAATGTTTAATCAAAAAATGATACATCACGTCATACAAGTTGTTCACACGAAAATAATCACTAATTATTATATTAGTGAATATTTATTAATTATTTTTTTCTTATTTGTATTTATAATTGTATAAAAGAAAATTAGAGATGAATAATTGAAGCGAATGTCAAAGAGTAAATGCTAATGAATGGTATTAGATTATTCGGATTGTTTCCGAATATTAAAGTATCTTGTACATAATTGATTAATCAAATCTCGGTAGTGATGATTGAGATTTTAACAAATGAAGAGTAAAAAGATTAACAAAAAAAAAAACCATTCCACATACATAATAAAATGTGCAATTTAAGTACTTGAAATATGCACAAATATTATTAACTAAAAATTTCATACTTTTTGTACTTTGTAAATTCATTGAAAAGTATGGCAGAATTTTTTTTTTTTAATTTTTACTTGGAATATTTTTTTCAAACAGTAAAAAAAAAATTCTAATGTAAGTGTTGAAAAAAAAGTCTAAGTCCTTAGTAAAAAAAAAATGAAATGGTAAAAGATTACTAAACTCATAGAATTATTTCTAAAATAAAAAAAAAAAAAACTGACTTAATTGTTTAATTTTGTTCTTCAAAAAGTTTAAATGTAAGAAAGTGTGATATATGATTGTTACGATATGTAAATACTTTTTCAAGATGATTATTATGATGATGGAGAGAATATCTGTTAGTAATTTAATTTTGGTAAAAAAAAAAAAAACAAACCATTGAATGATAAAAAAAAATATTTTGTTGTATAAAAAAAAGAAAAAAAAAAAAAGAAATTGTTGACCACCCCGGTGGTTTGACTTTCAATTTCATTTATCATTTATCCTGTATGCTCACTCCAATTATCCTAAGGTAGAATTTAATGTTATAATTTTAATTAATACTATTAATTATTAATTACTATAAAAAAAAAATTATAAAATAAAAAAAAATAGTTATAGTTTTTAAGTAGCATCATTGAAGAGATGCTGAATCCAAGGAACGTCTTTAATAAGCCTCCAGATTAATGGAAAAATAATAAACTATTCAAAGGATTTTAAGTGTAGAAGAATCTTCGTCTAGTGTTTAATAAAGAAAAGTTAGTTTAAATTATACGTCTTGATTTTAAACCTTAATTTATAAATCCTATCCTTCAGCTCTGTGCTCTAGAGTAAGTTTGTTAATTGACAAAATAAACCACAAGCGAATTAATCAACCACAAAAGATGATACAAGCTGGAAGATGTTGTTGGTGCATCAGCTACCTGAAATGAGCATAATTTTTTGAAATCCATCCTGTTGATGAGTCTTCCTTCTGGGAACTGGTAATTTTCTAAAACAGTTTGGCATTAAAGGCAATGGGGTGAAAAATCATAAACACAAAACCCTGAAAAGTTTATTTCTTAAAGATTTCATAGACTGCAGTTGTGTGGCCATCTAGGAAAAGGAATCACATCTCTGATGTTCGGAATCCCAAGTACTGTTTGAAGAAATCTCTCGTATCCCATCCCGAATCCGCCTGTTGGGACATTTCCATATCTTCTTAGATCTAAATACCACTCAAGATTTGCCTTGGGAGGTATTTTTTGTTTCAGTAGCTCATAATTGTCTTCTCTGAGACTCCCACCGAAAACTTCACCTACTACTGGCGCCAGTAGATCCATAGCAGCAACCTTTTTAATTATTAAATCAATAAGTTATTATTATTATTATTATTATTATTATTATTATTATTATTATTATTATACTAAATTACACTAGCCTATTACTCATACCTTTGATGAATCATGAGAGCATTCTTTCATATAAAAGGGCTTAATTTCTTTCGGCCAGTTGATAACGAACGTCGGAATCCCGTCATTGTAATCAACTAGAAATAATTCATGCTCTTTGGACAGAGCTTGACCCCGCTTAGCTGGTATTGAAAGCTTATCTGCATGTTTATCGAGGATATTAATCGCGTCGTCGTAAGTCATGTACCTAAAGTCTTTGTCAAGCCATTTGGGTGTTTCGGCTTTTATTGCATGCATGTCTGAAGCTCCTTTTTCTACCAGAGCACGGGTAATTGCTTTAAATAATAACTCTGATTCAGTTGTTAGCATTCTGATGTCCGTGACAAAAGCTTCTTCAGCTTCTATCATGTAAAATTCCGATAAATGCATTCTTGATTTTGAATTTTCGGCTCTAAATGTTGGGCCAAATGTGTAGACCTTTGATAGTGTTCTAAAAATATTAATTATTATTATTTATGATAAAAGCATGGAAATTTAAATAATAGAAATTAATTTACCAGATATTTAATAATTTTTAGAATTTTTTTAACAAAAAAATTATGGCAAAAAAAATTGAAATTAAAAAAAATTTTCAATTCAATTTTTTTCTACAAATTTTTTGGATAAAAAAAAAAATTAAAAATTGTCAAGTGTCTGCTAACTTTAAAGTCATATAATGAGAATTAATTTACCAGATATTTAATAATTTTTTCGAATTTTTTTAATAAAAATAAAAATAAATTATGGCAAAAAAAAATTGATATTTAGAAATTAAAAAAAAAAATAAAAAATTCAATTTTTCTTGTACAAATTTGTTGGTTTAAAAAAAAAATTGTCAAATGTCTGCTAACTTAAAATTCATTAAATAATATTACCTTGCCATTGTTTCTAGCTGTAACTGTCCAGACACAGTAAGATATGTAGGTGTATCGAAGTAAATAGACTCTACCGACTGGTCTTTACTTTTCTTCATCGTGTCAAGCATCTTACGAGACTCTGGAACCACCGAAAATACTTCACCAGCACCCTCGCAGTCATTGGAGGTTAAAATAGGCGTGTGAATATTTATAAACCCCCGTTCGTTCATGTGTTTACTGATTGCCAGTGAGGCTATACTTCTCAATCTAAGTAAACTAGAAAATTGAGCGGTTCTAGGTCTCAGGTGTAAAATTTGACGTAGATCATCGAGTATATAATCTTTTTTAAAGGATAGTGGATAACTCCCGTCTACTTCACACGACCCGAGGATTCTTACTTCATCGGCGCGTATTTCATATCTACCATTTGGTGCGTACGCGACTTCACCCGCAGCAAATACTGAACAGTCGTAACTTAAATTTGTCGGGATGTCAGTCTTTTTAGCCACAACCTGGACATGCTCAAACGTCATTCCGTTGTTGACTTCTAGAAATACTTTGTCCTTCATTTTTCTTATCACCTTAACCCAACCCTAAATTCATAAATTTTATTATTTTTACAATAAATCAAAATTATAATTACAATTAAATATAATTGTATGTAATAAATAAAATGTTATAAATTTAATTGTTAAATATTATTATTAAGACATCAGATGTCTAGAAATTTATAATTTATTAATCATAATTATTTAATAATTGATAGATAAATTAAAGAATGAATAATTATATTAATAAAATAAAATCCTGTCCGCCATTTAATGTAATATGAGTTTAAAAAATCTAACCTGTATTTTGGTACGCTTTCCTGAGACTTTGTCAAATTTTTTTTCTAATTTATCAGCAACATTTAGTGGTTTTTGATTTTTAGGCCCACTATTTGTTGATAAGTAACGAAGAAAATGCCTTCGAAACATTTTAAAAAGTAATTACCTTGAAATAATTACTAAAAACTTGCTCAAGCCATGGATTTTCAGTTTCAATAGCGATTAACAATGAACGAGAGGAAATTATGTCTATTATGTCATTGGAGGTTTTTGGTACCATTTTCATGAGCGCGACAATAGCGCTTCTGCGCGGAAATATATATCGAACGGAGGTATTCACACACACAAGTACTTTTTCTACCGGTAATGTAGAACATTATTTATTCAAAAAAATTTTAAAAAATATAAGAAACAATTTTAGTTTATAAAAAATTTAATAGGTAGTACTTAAATAAAAGATAACAATTTAATAAATTAATCACATTGAACTAATTTACCATCAGGCATTTTTTTATAATTAAAAACAGTTCCTTTTTGCCGTTCATTCCACGACAAAACTTCAGATTTAGATAAAATAAATTGAGGATCAACAGCAGCTTGTTGACATTTTTCAGAATTTGAAATATTATTTTCACTTCTATCTCTCAGTTTTCTTTTTTTCTTCTTTGGTATAATTGACGGTATTTCTTCTTCACAATTTATAATATCTGTTGATTCATTAAGCAATTTTATTCCACCATCAGTTGTCTTATTTTTACATTTGTTCGGAGTAACTTCTACCAGTTCAATTTCTCTAGAATAGAAAAAAATTTTTAATTAAAATTAATGAAATAAAATTATGATTATAAATAATAAATTAAAAACAAACCTATCAAGATACTCGGTTAATTTTTTACCGACAAACTCTTGAAAATGTACGGATACTCCAAAATTATAAAACTCTTGAGATTGTTGTTTTTCCTTTAATCTATCACTAACATTGTCAACTTTTTTTTCTATTGACACCAATATAAAGTTGTTATTAAAAAAAAAAAAACTTTCAAAAATAAATCAGCATGTAAATTATATAGGTTATCTCAGTACTTGCCTTCTTCGTCACTTTTATTTCCAGAAAAAAAAGAATTTTTAAATAAATCCTGATCGGTAGCTTCTCTCAATGCTTGTTTTATGTTTTCATCCTCTTCTGAGGACGATGATGAATTATCCATATAATTAGTCATTTTTTTTATTCCTTGTACAGTCTAGAAATAAACAAATCGTAAATTAATAAAAAAGAAAAAAACTCGAATGCGTTAATCAACATCATCAACGCTCCCATCATAATTATGTGTTACTTACTTATCTTATAGGTAAGTTAATCAAGTTTTAATTAAAAAAAAAAAAAGGAAAAATTAACACCTAAAAAAAAGAATAAATTAATAATGATACAGAAATCAGCTGTCAATTTTTTAAATTCACAACAATAAAAATACTTTTAAAAAATTCTGATAATTTTTTTTAATTTTCACACGCCATTTTTTAATTAAATTTTTTTTGTAATTATTAAATTGTAAAAAAATTATTTAGTGTCATAATTAATAAATAAAAGTTAGCCGACGTTTTTAATTTTTTTAATTATTAAATTAGAGCTAAAAAATATTTTTTTTAAATTGCACTTAGAGTTTTTTACAAATGAATTTTTTCTTTTATTATTTTACAATAATTTTTTTAATAAAAAAAAAGTTTTAAAAATTTTATAATAGCTAACTTAATTTTCATATTAATAAACACCTCAAAAACATGTGGTATATAATAAATAAAAAAAGTATTTTCTCACTGTAATAAATTATTTTTCCTCTGCAATTAATTACTATTTAATAGTGTGTCAATTAATAAAAATAAAAAAACAAAAATAAACAACAACCACGCAGGTATATTACATGCATACAATAAAAGCGACAGAAAATATAACACTTGTATATAATCTATACTATATGTCATGTAAGTGCAGCTTAGGTATACAGCAGTACAGCATAGCAGCTGGAGAGTAAAAAAGGATGAAAGATACAACAATATAAATAATAGAATAGAAAGAAAAGCACGAAAGCAAGACAGAGTAAGAAATATATTTGTGTATGGAGGAGAATCTTGGAGCAGTCAGAGTCGGTATAGTAGTGTATCAGTGGACACTGAAGTGGAGACTGGAGAGCACAGAGGAGCAGATTACAAGACCAGTTACTGTTTCGCATGTATGTATATATGTCTCTATACATACATATATAAGTATATGATATGTTTCGGATATAATGTGGGTGAAATGTGTACTCTACACACGCGTTCTCTGGCATTCTCTCGGTATAGTTCGAAGCGTTGTGTAGTCTGTAGTAGTGGAAGGCACCGCATCGAATATTTCAAAGCCGATTTCTGATATTGATATTTATACTAAAAAAATAAAAAAACTAATGATATATAATACAACGAATAGTTAATATAAAAAGTAATATCTTTTAAACATATAATTTATTGTTTTGTGAGTTTGTTTTTAATTTATATATAAAAAAAAATGTTTTTTAAATTTCTAGGACTAACAAGTGGATTTAATATTTTGGATTTGTGAAAAAGAAAGTTATCGTTTGGATTAATAGTTTTTACCTGGACACCTGCATTTATTTTTTTATTAATCAACCTTGATAATACGGTGAGTGACCTTTAAAGGACGATTATTTTTTTTTATTACAATTATTATTATCATTTTATTTTAGATATACATTTACAAGACGGAACTACTTACTTATAATATAAAGTATACGTTACATACTTATTTATATTAAAATATACATATGTATTGTGTATGTAATAGTATACAATTGACAATGAGATGCGCGATTCCATTCGCGGGTTTACGAGTTGGTTCGTTCAACGCCGGGAATTTTTCTCACGGTGGAAACTCGTTGCTTTATTAATTATAAAAATTATCTGCGTATATGTATTTATAATTACCACCATAAATTAACTATTGTGTTTTACTAAAAATAACTCTAATTTTTTTTATTCGTTTTTTTAATTCAATTATTTATTTTAATTCGAGTTTATTTATTTATTTATTTATTTATTTATTAATCAACATGTCTATCGGCAATATACATCAGAAGAAATTATTTAATATTAAATAATATTTTTGTTAATTAAACGGTTTTAAAATCTAAAATGACAATTTTTATGGATAAAAAAACATCAGTAGAAATTCGATAAGAAATAAGAAAAAAATAATTTACATAAATTTAATTTTGCCGACAGTAAAAACCTGATTCTACTCTTATAATTATGTCTTCATTCAAATCTTGATATTATAATAGTTATATTCTTTATCAAATATAAATAAACCGGATTAAGAATCATAAATTTTATTTTATTTTGTGGCAAAAAATTACTGTATAAATTTTTATTTTTTATCTCTTTAACAAATTGTAAAAAAAAATAATGATAGCTTCTTTTTGGATGGAATTATATTTTTTTATACGTAATGATTTAAGTATACGATTGTTCGTTGGAGACGCGTGTCTTTTAATTCATTGTAAGGATTCGTGACACACGTCCAGTCTCTATTCATCGAACTGGGTACTGGATGCTATTACTACTATTTTTTTTATATTATACACTGGACAGACGGGTTCGTCAACCGGCAACTGCTAGGGACGTCGTGTTGTTACATATAAAGTTCAGAGTAGAGTTGACTCTTATATGTTTTAGATTTTTTTATTTTTATATTTATAGGTATACCTCAGTATATACTCTAATAATAATATTGGATCGATAATTCAGCTTTTATAAAACTGTTATTATTTATCACACACAATAATTTAATTTTTGGAGTGAAGAAAGGAAAATTAATTTTTTTAAGCTCTTCTTACTTTTTTACTATTAATTATTATTTTTTTACTTTCAATTTTTTTTTAATAATAAATTAGGTCTAAAAAATTATTTATAAAAAATTGCAGTTATAATTTTTTAAAGCCTCTAAAGATAGAATTTTTTAAATAAATTCTTGCTATGATTTATTAGTTAAAAAATTTCTAAAAATTAAAATTAATAGACACTTGACAATTTTTTTACTTTTTTATTATTAATTATTTTTTTACTTACAATTTTTTTTAATAATAAACTAGGTCTAAAAAATTATTTATAAAAAATTGCACTTATAATTTTTTAAAGCTTCTGAAGATAGAATTTTTTAAATAAATTCTTACGATAATTAATTAATTAAAAAATTTTTTTAAATTATTTCTAAAAATAATTAATATACCTATACATATAAATAAATTTACAGTATATAAGCCGAGTTAAGTAGAGTAGACAGTATACGCAAAGGTCTCTCTTATGTTGAAAGAAGAAAAAATCCACCCTTATTCGTTGATTCGTTGGCACAGTGAATCGATAGAGTAGAGTAGTCGTCGCCCTCTAGTCAACGGTGGCGTCGAATCTACGATAACATGAGTCACTCACCCTGTTCCTGTTCCTGTATTATACTTAGTCTTAGTATGAGTTCCATTTATACATACATACATATATTGGTATACACCCCAAACCCCAACAAGTTTGTCCCTTGCCTCAAGCTTACCCTACTATACACGTTTCACCTCCCAACTCCCAACTCCCTACTTCCACCTACCAACGTTCCACGTTCACATAAAGCCTGTGAGATGCTTACCAATTTATACAAAATACACAACCCTCCTTTTATTTATGCTCCAACGCATCTTATAAATTATTGTACGTTATGTTAGTCATTAATGTTATTATTATTATTGTTATTATTTTAGGCAAAGTAATTATAAAAAAATTTTTTTTTAATAATTATTAAAGTATACAGGCCAAGTCAAGCCTATTAGGTATTTCTTCTTTATTTTCTTGTTTTATTTTAATTAGTAGAGCTAGAAATTTTTAATTAATTTAAAAATAATAATTTGTAATTAATAGAATCAAATTTTTGATATTACAGCGAAAATATTGGTCGGATAAACAAATGTTATAAATAAAAATTAAAAATTTAATTTTATAAAAAAAATATTTCTTATAATTTTTTTTTTTAAGACCAATAAAAAAGCCATAATTTTTAAATTTTAATATAAATCTTACACAGAAAAAATAAACTTCTTGCGCCAAGAAAATTTTAAGGAAGGCAAAATTTATTTTGGAGCAAGAAAAAATTTTTTTTTTTACTCAAGAAACTTTGATTTTATTTAAGAAATTTTCAATCTTTCTTGAGCCAAGAAAATTTACAATTAAGAATTTTTTTTTTCGGTGTAATTAAGAAATTATTGGTCTTATTAAATAGAAATATTAAAATTTCAAAAAATTTAATTTCTACTTCTTAAATTTGAAGATAATTTAATAAATTTAATAATTCAAATTAATACTTTTATTTTTATATATTTAAAAAATTTTGAGTTTATGTAAAAAAGCGAGAATTATTTAAGCTCTTTAAATTTAAAGGTACTTAATTTTAGAATCTAAAAAAAAAGTGTGGATAGCCGGTAGTTTGAGGATAAGCGGTGATGAAGACATCACCGGGTTCACCTATTGAATTTTGTCGTTAAAAAAAAAAGTAATAAAAATGTAAGATTAAAGATTAGAAAAAAAAGACATTCAAAGTCAATATTCATCTGCTAATTTATAATCTTTAAAAATGTCATCTGAGCGTGAAGCTTATGAAACTGAAACCTGTTTGAATTAAGCTGGACATGTTGCTATTGAGTATTTAAAGTGTACTTATTATTACACTATCCAGAACATTTGTTTATATTAATATATAAATAAATGTGCGTAAGGATACAGATATAGATGTATGGTGGGAACAAGTTAAGTAAAACAAGTAAAATAAGGCACTCTTCCATGAAACCTTTATCTGCAGTGAACATCTCTCCTTTTTTATTCTTCCACCCCTCTCATTCTTATTCCCTCATTCCTTTAGCGCCAACTAAAGAGGATTCTATGGTATAATATACCATCCTTGTACTAAAACTTTAAAGTGAAACTTAGTCAGACACACTCACACCTTTACCTTAGGTGATATGAGTTTAAATTTACAAGCACAAAAGGGATTTAGTTTCTTTCTTTTTCTTTTAAATTTCTTCAAAGTCACACGACACAGTCGCTTTAACATTACTTAAGCTGTACAAGTACAACCTGCACAGGAAAAAACAATTATTATACTAGTATATATATATATACATATATTAACACTTTAATGCATACTTACTTGTATTTATGTAGACTTTTAAAAAATTAACGTGACTCCCTCATGAAAATTAATTAAGAAGATATTTAATAATTTTTAGAATTTTTTTATCTAATAAATTATATAAAAAAATTAGCTAGCGTTTAAAAGTTTTTTGAATTTTTTTATAAAAAAAAATTAAAAGAAATAATTTGAAAAATTTTAAGTGCAATTTTTTAAAAATATTTTTTTATTTGTAATTTTTATTGATTTAAAAAATAAAAAATTATTAAATGTCTGCTAATTTTATTATAATATAAATTATGGCAAAAAAATGAGAAAGAAAAATTGATATGAAGAAATTTTTAAAAATTATAAATGCAATTTTTTAATAAGTTTTGGAACAAATATTTTTGATAAATAAACTTAAAAAATGGTCAAGTGACTGCTAATTTTAATGTTAAATATTTATAAAAATTAATTTAGCAGATATTTAATAATTTTTTTAACAAATAAATTATGGCAAAAAAAAAAATGAGAAAAAAAATTAACATGAAGAAATTTTAAAAAATTATAAATGCAATTTTTTAAAAATAATTTTTAGAATTTTTTTGATAAATAAGCTTACAAAATAGACAAGTGATGGCTAACTTATATGTAATGACTCAATTTCTAATTTATAAAAAATAAATTAGTTATATTTACCTTTTCAAATACAATTAAATAATTTTTGAAACATTTTTGTACCTAAATAACTTTATTATCGAAAGAACGTCCCTTGATTTGGTAAATAAGTAGATTGGTGTCTTGGCATTGCCTCTGCTACTTAGTGATGATAATAATGATAACGTAAGGATAGCGTAGAGATGGTAGTGACGGTTAAGATGGTGGCGATACTGGCATTTCTGGCCTGTTCGATACACACGCACATTTAGTTAAATAAAAAAAAAAAAAAATTGCAAAAGGAGCAAAAACTATACCTTGAAAACCTAATATAATGCAATGTTGTAAAAGGGCCCAATCGCGGCTGTCGTCCTTGAAATTACACACACGAGAAAATGACGTGCTGGTGCACATAACACACTCTATATATGTATGTATCAGGATATACAGGATACAGTAATAAGCGATACCGGGTGTCTCAAAGACGCGTCTCTTCTGATTGCTCTTAATGCGAAGAAAAATTTTTTACTTTTTTTATTTTTCACCTACAATTTATTTTATCAAGAATAATATTAATCAAGAAAATAAAATGATATTGAAATTAGCAGAGATAAAAAAATTCTTTAAAAAAATTCTCACTTCAAATTTTTTTAATTTTTTATATGTGGAATTTTTTATCTAGATTTTTTTTTAATATTTTAATTGTTATAAAAATTTTTAAAATCATTAGATGTCTTCTAAATTAAGAATCATATAATAAAATGATATTAAAATGAGTAGATATCTAAAAATTCTTTAAATTTATATGAAAAATTAATTATTATAAAAAAAAATCATTTAAAAAAATTTGCACTTGTAATTTTTTAAAATTTCTACATGTGAAATTTTTTTCATTATAATTTAATTGTTATAAAAATGAAAAAAATAGATGTCTGCTAAATTCAGTATCATAAAATAAAAAATAAAAAAAGAGTAGAACCTTAGTCCGGCATGAAGGAAGGACTTAACTCTTGTGAGAAAGATGAAGAATAATAAAAAAAAAAAAATGATAGCCAAAACTCGTGCCGTTAAAAAAAAATAATTGTAAATAGTCAGGCATATGTAAGATTGGCAGGTTATATATATGTATATGTATGTATATATATCAACAATACTGGTTCAAGCGGTTTGGTTGAACGCCTCTACTCTGTTGATAATTGGTATAACCGGATTCCGTACAAGTTTCACTCTATAGAGTATACTCACATCAGTTGCTGTCTCTCCTCGTCTTGGTCTCGATATATCCACCAGTTGACTGCTCTTCTTATTATTATTATTCTCCTTGTAATTAATAGTTTTGCCAAGAACGTGGAGCGAACCCGACCTCCCGAACCGAAAATGATACCCTGAAGACTTTTAAAGTCCCTCATATTGCTAAAACCCTTCAAGAATACATTTTAGTTTTAGGATTTAGTCTAGGTATACTGATACTTGCAATTTAAAGTAGTTTAACTTTAATTTTTTTTTTCAAATTGACCTTGTAAACTGGCTTACAGCTTGTCGTCTTGTTCTTCTGTATATCTGCAGATTGTATTTTTATTTTCACATTTAATTTATAAAATTAAAATGATAAATAAAAGTATCGTTGTCTGTAAATGTGATTGGTTTAAACTCTCAGTATAAAATATATCTTAGCGATGAACGAATCAACCGATCCGGTAAAATGATTCGAAGAAATTAAATATAAATACTTTATACAGTAGAATAATTTTTTTTAAACTAAAAGAAAAAATTTATTTACAAAAAAAATTAACAATTTTATTTCTTAGCTGAAGAAATAAATTTTCTCACAGTAAATTTCTTGTTGAAAAAAAATTTTAGATAGACATCAATTTAAGAATTTTTATCAAAAATTATTTTTTTTTCAAATCTAGAAAACTTTTTTTTAGCAAGAAAATTATTAAGAAAAAAATTGTTATTTCTTCTTTGAATTTTTTAAAATTTCTAATAAATAAATTTCTTATCACAAAAAATTTTTTCTTTTAGTGTATGTTACGAAATATATAAGTACTATATTTTATTAAATTAAAAATAAAATATAAAAGTATTAAAACTCTATTTATAATATTTTTTATTGCTTTTCAGGAAACCAAGGATGATAAATCCAGAGATGATGATGATCAAGATCATTGAATTGTGGACGTATCTACCGTCCTGTGAAACCCTAAAAAGGACACATTAAATCTCAAATAATGTTATGAAGAAATTAAGCTGAAAAAAATGTTAAAAAAATGATATTATTGCGATATGGCGCGCATAGTATGGATCCTAGCGGTAATTTGTTGTTCAGCCGGATTATGCCAGGTGACGGAAGGTTATTTGGCAATAATATCCTCAAATTTATCACCTGGTACCCTGATATTCGAAGCAGGTGTACCACAGTTAGGTGGAAAAAGAAAATACGATGTATCAGGAGACCGTACAGCACGGTTCGCCCGTAAATTACTCAAAGTAAATCCACACAATGGCCGAGTTACCCTGGCTAGAAAACTCAATTGCGATGGATTGCAATATCCCCGTTTATTCACCTTCTACATTGATTCCACAAGTTCACGTCTAGGTAGACCAAACATAGATTACTATAGTTTACCCCTGCGTGTACTGATAACCGGTTGCGGTGATGAAAACCAAGACCTAGCTGCAACTAAAGGATGGATGGCTGAAACACTAGCTTCATATGCAATGCCAAGTACTGAAAAATTTACAGAAATTTGTCTAAGAAGATCACAATTAGTTGCTGGATTGCGTGATTTTTTGCCTCACACTGCTCTTAAAGAATGTGAAACAAGATGGGACGGTGTTGCTGATTCGCGTTTTTTAATAGAAGGCACCGGAGGAGATCTTGTTTCAGCCTCTGAGCAGTGTCTTATTGATCCACTTTGGAAGATATCAGTATCAATGACGCTCCGATGCAGCAGTTCGCTAACTCATCTAGTTGATACAGAGCACCGTTTAAAAATAGTATTTCATCATCAACAATTAGACGACACAGATCTTGGCAGACGTGTAAGAAGAGAATTAAAAAACCGATCACCATTTTTTGAGCACGGTCTTTATACAGCAGCAGTTGAAGAAGAAAAAGAGCCTGGAGAATTGGTAACTGTTGTACGTGCTCGTGATCCAGAAGGTGGTACAGTACATTATTCAATGCAATCACTATTAGACGCGCGTTCTACCGCGTTATTTCTTCTAGATTCAATAACTGGTAAAGTAACAACACGCGCTAAGCTTGACCGTGAAAGCGTTGAGCTTCATTATTTTAAAGTACTAGCAGTTGATGATTCATTTCCACCCAGAACAGGAACTACAACGTTGCAAATAAATGTCTTGGACGCAAATGATCACCCACCGACATTTGAATGGCCTGAGTATGAAGCGCCAATTCGCGAAACTGTTCCATTAGGCTCAACAGTAATTGCTGTTAAAGCTACTGACAAAGATTCTGGAAGAAATGCTGAAGTTGAGTATAATATTTTATCAACTACTGGAGGCGGGACTACATCTATAGCTCAAGATTCAGAAACATTTCGAATTGATCAAAAATCTGGTGTTGTTACAACACGCATGTCGTTGGACAGAGAAAAAACTGAAGTGTATACGGTATTAATAACTGCGTCTGATTTATCAAACACAGCATCTTTGCGTAAAACAGCAACAACGACTTTAATAGTCCGTATTTTGGATGATAATGACAATTATCCACAATTTTCTGAACGTTCTTATTCAACAACAATTCCTGAAGATATTGATTACACAACAAACCCAATAATAGCTCACATACAAGCAACTGACGCTGACAGTGGTCCCAATGCTGCTATTAGGTACAATATTATCGGTGGCAATACCCAAAATACTTTTTCAATAGATTCATTAAGCGGTGATGTTACATTAGTTAAGCCACTTGATTATGAAACAATTGATCTGTACCGAATTGTTGTACGCGCTCAGGATGGAGGTGCTCCAGCACGTTCCAATACAACTCAATTATTGGTACACGTTGAAGATGTCAATGATAATGCTCCTAGATTTTTTACTAGCTTGTTACAAGAAACAGTATCTGAAGGAGTACCTATTGGTTATTCTGTTGTACGCGTTCAAGCTTATGATGGTGATAAAGGCTTGAATGCTTTAATTAAATATTACATTGGAGCTAGAGATATCAATGGAGGGTCTACGGAAAATATTCCGATTTCTGTTAATTCAGAAACTGGTTGGATTCATACGACAAAGCAATTAGACCGTGAAATATGTTCGCGGTATCAATTTACAGTGGTAGCTGTTGATTCTGGTGAGCCACCTAAATCTGGCAGCGCGACTGTTGTAATTACAATTACAGATATTAATGACAATGATCCGAAGTTTGAATCTAAAAATTATGAAGCTGTTGTGTCTGAAGATGATCCACCAGGTACTTCTGTGTCATTAGTAACAGCAACTGATCCAGATGAAGACTCTAAAATTCACTATGATATCACTTCTGGTAATTCAAGAGCTAGATTTTCTATAACTTCACAAAACGGTGGAGGATTAATCACAGTTGCTCAACCGCTTGATTATAAACAAGAAAAAAGATTTGTGTTAACTGTAACAGCATCTGATTCTGGAGGAAGAATGGACACTGCATTAGTTTACATCAACATTTCTGATGCCAATAATTTTGCACCAATTTTTGAGAATGCTCCTTACTCAGTATCAGTATTTGAAGATGCACCAATTGGGACAACTGTACTGGTAGTAAGTGCTACAGATTCGGACGTTGGTCAAAATGCACAAGTAACTTACAGCTTAGGTACTGACAGTGATAATAATGACGGTAATAATAAAAATAATGACAACAGTGAATTTACAATAAATTCACAAACAGGAGCTATAACAACAACACGTCCTTTAGACCGAGAACGAACTTCTGGGTATTTATTAACAGTCACTGCCAAGGATGGTGGTGTTCCAGGACTTTCTGATACTACGGACGTTGAAATTTCTGTAACAGATGTCAATGATAACCCTCCAGTGTTTGAAGCTGCTCAATATACTGGTACTGTACCAGAAGATGTGTTAGTTGGCACATCTGTCGTTCGTGTATCAGCGACTGATGCTGATCAGGGATTAAATGGACGAGTTAGATACACGCTTGATGATGATGGCGATGGTGCCTTTGCTATTGATTCCACGACTGGCATTGTAAGAACAGCTAAACAGCTAGATCGTGAATCTGTTATGAGGTATACTCTTAAAGCAATGGCAGTTGATAGGGGAATTCCTGCACTTTCATCAATAGTACCTATCATTATTAAAATAGAAGATGTTAATGATTCACCTCCGGCATTTGAAAGTGATAAAATAATATTATACATACCTGAAAACTCACCAATTGGTTCAACTGTGGGTGAAATTTATGCCCATGATCCGGATGAAGGTTTGAATGCTGTTGTTCAATATTCTATCATTGGAGGAGAGGATGCTAATAGTTTTACATTGAACACTCGTCCGGGTTCTGATAGAGCTGAACTTATAACTCTTGAAGAACTAGACTATGAATCGCAGAAAAAAAAATATGAAATATTTGTACGAGCTGCTTCTCCACCATTACGCTCTGATGTTCTGGTACAAATAATGATTACAGATATTAATGACAACGCACCAGTATTAAAAGACTTTCAAATAATATTTAATAATTTTAAAGATTTTTTCCCGACTAAATCTATCGGAAAAATACCTGCAATAGATGCTGATGTTACTGACAAACTTTATTACAATATATTGTCTGGTAATAATGCTAATTTAATAACACTTAATAAAACATCTGGTGAAATAATTTTATCACCGCAATTAAATACAAATGTACCGAGAATAGCTACGATGGAAGTGTCTGTTAGTGATGGAGTTAATCAAGTTAAAGCAACTATGACTTTATCTGTAAGATTAATAACAGATAAAATTTTGTATAATTCAATAACAGTAAGGCTTGATGATATGACTGTTGAAGCATTTTTATCACCATTGTTAAATTATTTCATTGATGGTCTAGCTGCAATAATACCATGCCCTCGTGAAAATATATTTATATTCAGCGTTCAGCAAGATACAGACGTTAATGGAAAAATATTGAATGTTAGTTTTTCAGCACGGAAAGTAGAACCTGGTAATATTGATGAATTTTATACTTCTCAGTATCTTCAAGAGCGAGTTTATTTAAATCGTGGAATTTTAGCAAGATTATCAACTCTTGTAGTCCTACCATTTGATGATAATCTTTGCGTACGTGAGCCTTGTTTAAATTTTGAGGATTGTATTACTGTGTTAAAATTTGGCAATGCTTCAGGATTTGCAACTAGCAACACAATATTATTTCGTCCTATTTATCCAGTGACAACATTTTCATGTCAGTGTCCTCGTGGATTTACTGGAAGCAAAGAGTCATATTTATGTGATATGGAAGTTAATTTATGCTTTTCAAATCCGTGTAAAAATGGTGGGACTTGCAAACGTAAAGAAGGTGGCTATACTTGTATTTGTGATGATAATTACACTGGTGATAATTGTCAATTATCATTAAATCAAAGTAATATTTGTGCTGCATCACATACGACGAATAATAATGATGATAATAATAATAATAATTATTATTATTATTATAATGTATGTAAAAATAATGCTAAGTGTATAGACAAATTAGACGGTGGTTTTACATGTGAATCTTGTCCAATAATTCCTTTAAACACTGTAACGCAATTTTGTGAACTGCGAGCTCGCAGTTTTGGACCATCAACATTCTTAACATTTCCATCACTCAAACAGCGACATCGTTTGAATATCAAATTAAAATTTGCAACAGAATCTTCACAAGGGTTACTACTTTACAATGGACGTTACAATGAAAAGCATGATTTTATAGCGTTAGAAATAGTAAATTCAGAGTTACAATTTAGCTTTTCACTTGGTGATAAAATAACAAGAGCAACTGCTGCAATTCCCGGCGGAGTTTCTGATGGACAGTGGCACACTGTTAATGTCAATTACATCAATCGCACTGTTACAATAACAATAGATGATTGTGATATTGGATTAGCATTACGCTACGGTAAAAAACTAGGTGATAAATGGTCCTGTGCTGGTACAGGTGAGCAAATTCTTGAAGCACGTTGCAATTTAATAACAGAAACTTGTCACCGTTTTATAGACCTCACTGGACCAATGCAATTAGGTGGCTTACCTTTTATCCCCTCTGACTTTCAAATCACAAATAAAGACTTTATAGGCTGCATAAGTGATCTATATATTGACTACAAATTCATCGATTTAAATTCATATGTAGCAGACAATGGAACAATTGTCGGATGTCCTGAAAAATATGAATTTTGTTTGTCTTCTCCGTGCAATAATAATGGAAAATGTCGTGAAATTTGGTCGGGATATATATGTGAGTGTCAGGAAGGTTTTTCCGGTCCACAGTGTAGTGAAGAAATAAGCAAACCTTGGCGATTTCACGGAGATGGTCTATTAAGTTTTAATCCACTGTTAAGACCAATTCAATTACCTTGGATGACTGCTTTTAGCTTACGTACTAGAGCTGTTAATTCTTTTATTATGAACATCCAAATAGGACAAAATAGTTCAGCGTTGTTTTATTTAAAAGACGGAAAATTAGCTACTTCGTTAGATGGAATTGAAATAATAAAAACAAAAGTAGCGATTAATAATGGCGAGTGGCAGAGAATTGAAATTATTTGGCAAACTGGTTTAGTATCATTGGATATTAATTACCGAAATAATCCATTAATATCATCACTGCCAGCTAAGCTTCAAGGTTTGTATGTAGGAAGAATATTATTAGGTGGACCAGATCAGTCAATAGTTAGTAGTAGTAGCAGCAGCAGTACTACTACTACTACTGCTAATACCAATACAATTATTTCTTCTGGAATTGGCGAATTACAATTTTATGAAGGATGCATTCAAGATTTGCGTATTGGTACCAATCAAAGTATTTTACAGCGTCCCACTGTTCAGGAAAATATTGGAATTGGTTGCACTGATGACAATGAATGCAGTGTTAAGTGTCCTGAAAAATCAAGCTGTGTTAAAAAATGGCAAGCCAGCGAGTGTGTATGCGACCCTGGATATGTTGGAGAAAACTGCGAAGCTATATGTGACATAAATCCTTGTCACAGTGATTCAGGAATTTGTCTAGAAGAAAACAATTCTAAACGCGGGTATAAATGTCAATGCAACAGTGAAGAATATACTGGAGAGTATTGTGAGGTAAGAGTTGACCAATCATGTCCAACAACCTGGTGGGGTTCTCCAGTGTGTGGTCCTTGTTACTGTGATGAGTCAAAAGGCTATGATCCGTCTTGTAATAAAACGAATGGAGAATGTTACTGTAAAAAAAATCACTATCAGCCGCCGAATGGGGAAAAAGATCAATGCATACCTTGCAATTGTTACACAGTTGGGAGTCGCGGACCACGTTGTGATCCTGTTACTGGACAATGCAGGTGTTTAGAAGGTGTTATTGGTCGCGCTTGTACGGATTGTGCTAATCCTTATGCAGAAGTTACTTCAACTGGGTGCCAAGTTATTTATAATGGCTGTCCTAAATCATACGCTGGGGGATTGTGGTGGCCGCAAACTTTGTTTAATAAAACTGGAGATTCTCCTGTGGTTGTTGTGGTCTTTGAAAATTGTCCTGGTACTGCTCAAGGTATGGCTTCTAGACAGTGTGATAGCGAATCTGGTGGGTGGCAATCGCCAGATTTATTTAATTGCACATCGGATATATTTATCCAGCAAAGATATAATCTAGCGGCTATTGAAAATTCAGAAATGATATTAAATAGAGATATTGCGGTTAAAATAGCGCGAGATCTGAATTTTGCTGTTAAAAATATTAAAAATATGTATGGCGCAGATGTACTTATAGCGGAATCATTGTTTAAGTTATTACTTAAGTATGAAGAAAGTCAAGCTGATTTGCATCTTACTCACAATCAAGATAAAGATTATGTACCTAATTTAGTTGGAATTGCCGGTGGAATTCTTAATAAAAAATATAAAGACACTTGGCTGAGAATTGAGGAGTTAAATGGTGATAGTACTGATAAGATACTAGATGCAATGGCTAGGTATTTAAAAATATTAACTAATTCACAGCACAATACTTTTACAGATCCGTTTGAAGTCGTTGATCCTTTTGTGATAATGGGTATGGACACTGTTACATCTGAAAGTTTGTTTGGATATGAATCTACAGTAAATAATGGTGAAATATTTAAATCTTCTATTGAAGAAATAGATAAAAAAGTCATCTTACCTGACACATCTTCATTTTTATCAACACCAACTCACCTAGAATCTTACATTAGTTTCCCTAAGTACAATAATTACATTGCTGACCCACGACGATTTGATCCTTATTCTAAAATAAGAGTACCTTTAAGTTTGCTGGGTATAAAAGGAGTCAGTCCTGGTGAGATAAAAAATAATGAAAATAAAGATAATAATGAGAAAGCTGTACTGAGTTATGTACAGTACAAAGAATTGGGGAATTTGTTACCCAAAAAATTTGATGACTCTGTTAATGTAAGATGGGGCGTAGAAGTTGCTGTCGGATCTCCTGTAATAACAATTTCAATATTAATACCTTCAGACAATGGTACAAAATTATTATCCAACAATCCACAATCTCCAGTACAAATTCAACTTTGGATAAGTGAAGATGATGGTACTAAAATAAGAACAAATCCTCAGTGCGTTCATTGGAGCACAGCGCGTAATTCTGGAGAGTGGAGCAGAATTGGCTGTACAACAGATATTGACGACTCAACAATTGATTATTATTATTATTATTTAAATCCCAATAATAATAATAATAACAACAACAACAACAACAATTTGGAACGTCGTAAAATGATTAATTGTTCTTGTCAAGGTGTGATTTTACAAGTTAAAAATCTTCAATTAGCAACATTTGCCGTACTAACAGACGTACTTGATCTTGAGTATGTACCCGAGCCCTCATTACTAGAAGATGTAACAAGTTACAGTGCATTTATGCTCTCACTGCCCTTATTACTTTCAGCATTGTTAATACTAACATTAATACGCGGAAGTGCAACAAATTCAAACAGTATTCACAAAAATTTAGTACTTTGCGTATTTATGGGTGAATTATTGTACTTAATAGCATTAAAAGCAAGAAGTCCATTAGCTTCCAATGAATTTACTTGTAAATTAACAGCCATTGGCTTGCATTATTCATGGCTGAGTGCATTTGCTTGGACCTTAGTTGATTCTATTCATTTATACCGAATGTTAACTGAAATGCGTGATGTTAATCATGGACAGATGCGATTTTATTACACAATTGGTTACGCAATCCCGGCTATAATTGTTGGTCTGACAATAGGCGTCCGGGCAGATCAATACGGCAATTTTTATTTCTGCTGGTTGTCTATTTATGAGACAGTTGTCTGGTCATTAATCGGACCTATATGTCTAGCAGTTGTGATTAATTTTTTGATATTAATAATCTCAGTAAAAGCAGCGTTTACATTAAAGGAACATATTATGGGATTTGGTAATTTGAGAACATTATTATGGCTATCTGTTGCATCATTACCACTACTGGGAGCCACTTGGACACTTGCTGTGCTAAGTGCTTCCGAAAATTCTTCTATTTTGTCATATTTATTGAGCGTATCAATAGTAATTCACTCTTCATTCAGCCTAATTGGATATTGCTTCATAAATGGACGAGTAAGAAGAAATTTTTACCTCAGTTTATTGAGATGCTTTGGCAAAAAATCACCATTATTAGAAAGCAGCATGATGGTCAATGGAAGCAGCAGCCAAAATATTAATGGACAATCTCGCTCAGCTCTGGCTTATAATTCTAATTACATTTCTAATGGCAGTGGTGGTGTCATTACAAATGTTGGGACAACAACTGGTACTTGCAGAAGGGTTCACGTTGGAGTATCAACTAGTAGCACCACTTCTAGAAGCACCAATAAAACAGGATCAAGTCCTTATCGGAGTGATGTCCACTTAAGACATACTTCTACTTCAACGAGTAATTACAACAGTGACCGTGATCCTTATATGATGTCTTCAACTCGCAGTAAAAAAAATAGAAATACTCAACATTCTTCAGTGAATAATTCTAACAGTAATAAAATAGTTTTAAGGAATTCAAGACGAGATTCTGAATCTGATGAATCTGATGGTTCGCACAATAATGATGATGATGATGATGATACCACTGGAGGTCGGGGCAGTGCTGGTAGAAGTCTGGACCTTGCTAGCTCGCACAGTTCTGATGATGATGATGTAACTTCAAATCCTACTGGGACTGATAGTAATAATATTAATAGTAAAAATAATAAACGAAAAATAGGATTAAAAACTGTTGGAGTGTCTACTCAACAGCAGCAACAAATTACGCACAATTATTTGCCAAATATTCATCAGCAAAATTCATTGGTTGGTGGCAATGGCAGTGCTACTGATCATTTAAATATTCTTTGCTCAAATTCTGATTTGTTTCCAAATATAAAACCAATTTACGCTCCAAGGTGGAGCTCGCAATTACCTGAGGCGTATTTGCCGACTAATATTGACATTCGCAGCAGCCAATGGTCCGGTGGAACTATTTCAGACAATGAAATTGCTTCTAATAAAACTTCAAGTCCAAATCCTTTGCCTTATCCTCCGGATGATATCAGTTCTCCGTTAAAATTTGGAGCCCCGGGTGAACATGATAATAATTATTCTGAGGGTGAGGATAAAATTTCTTCTAATCAAAATTACAATATAGGTGGGAGTTATAGTGGAGGGGGAGGAGGAGGAGGAGGAGAAAAGTATCTATTTCCTTATACAGCTGAAGAAGATCATACAGTTTCACCGACTCCCTACTTATTATCAATGTCATCGAGGATTCTTGGTTCCAGTTTGAGCCATCATTCGCATAATTCAAATCAAGATAATCACAGTGGATCGGAGAGATACGGAAGTTTGAAACGCGGCCAAAGTCAAAGTCTTCATGGCTCGCTGCACGATAATCTAAACGCGGTTGATAGATACGGTAGTTTGAAAAGAGGGAAAATTACACCAACTGTGCTTGAAGATATGCCCGAGTACATTTTACCAATCACCGGAAGAATATTATCCAGTTCGTTGACTCACGATCTTCATCATAGCAATGAATTAGCTGCTTTGAGACATCATCATCAGTTGCAACAACAGCAGCAGCAACAACTGTTACAACAACAGCAACAACATTATGAACAGACTATCACTGAGACTGAGTAAGTCATAGTATTTTTTTTTTTAAGTTTTTTTTATAATTATACTGAGAAAAAAAAATTTTTTTTTTTAAATTCATTTTTTGTAATACTAAAGTTAGCTGACGTTTTTAATTTTTTTAACTATTTTTATTTCATATTAGTTATAATTTTTATTTTATAACAATTTTAATGAAATAATATGAATTTTTCATAACTTAAAAATTTTTTCCGGGATTCATTTTTGGTTTATTAAATTAGAACTAAAAAAAAAAATTTTTTTTTATTGCACTTATAGTTTTTCAAGTTTTTTGCAAATGAAATTTTTTTAAAATTATTTTTTCAATAATAAAACAAATATAAAACTTTAAATGTCGGCTAATTTAATTTTCAACAATTTTTGTGACAAAAAATTAATTTGTTAGAAATTTTATTTCTTCCCTGAAGAAATATCAATTTTTTTTAAATAATTTTTTTTTGTGAAAATTTATTTTTTTTTTTTTTTTCAAAAGAAATTTTTTTTCTCAGTGTGTAAATAATAATAATAATAAATATATTTTCTGATTTCTGCTTACTCTTTGGTGATGGTAACTTTTATTGGATTGAAATTAACAAAATTAATAAAACAGCGAAGAGGTGAGATTATTAATACATTATTATATTAACCCCACAATACCCTTATAAAATAATATTGGCTTGAGAAAATTATTACACAAAATTAAATAAAGTATCCTTATGCATTTACAGGAAGGATATTAACGCCGAGACACCCGTATGAAGGACTCCGTCTACAAGAAAATAACGTACAAAATAAATACCTTAGATATAATAATCATTTTCATAAAATCTAAAATATAAATATAAATATTTATAAATTTTATATATTTATATTGTAATAAATAGTGTATTAAAATTTTCAATTATTTTTAGCCGTGGCCATGACTATATATGTTTACTATTAAATATAATAATAATTGATAAGTTTGTATGTGTGAGTGCCTGTTAATACGCCTAAAATAATTAATTATTTAATTCGATGTAATAGCTTTTGATAAATATTTATTATACCGGGTTCATAATGTCAATTGTCAATTTTTAAAAATAATAATAATTATTATTATCATATAAACGCGATGATTGTTACGACTGAATAATCAATTATACCCGGAAATAATGATCTCTTGCTCATTTTATTTATCATTTATACTTAATGTCGTACTATTTTAAAAACTATGTACTTAATTATTATTGTTATTGTAATGTATCTTATTGTGCAATGTAAAACATTCCATTTTTTTTTTTTTAATTTTTTATACAAATTTTATGTGACGTAAAAATTAATGTCTACACAAGATAATACTCAAATTTTTGTATATATTTATACGAAGAAATATGATGACAAAATACATAATTTATATATATCAATCTTATAATTATTCATTATTTTAATACATTGACCCTTTTATTAATAATATATATATTATATAAATAATTTTGTATACAAGCTACGTTTCTAAAAAATTTTCTTGTATAAATATGTTTGTTAAAAAATACTATTTTAAAAAAATCTGACAGCGCATGTTTGAATTAAAAAAAATTATTAATTATCAATTTACCACAAGCGGCTTTTATTTAGCGGAGCATTGAATTAATCTTACTTGAAGTAAATTCTATTGTCTTAATCTCTGGCAGCAAATAAAAAATTTCAGATAATAATATATATATTTTTTTTTCATATTAAGAGGAGTTAATTCCTCAATAGTTAAAAAATACATAAATACATATTCTTCCTTTCAATATACGATGTTAAAATATTAATTATATAATTATAAATAGAATATTAATTAATAGTAATAACTAATGCTAAGACTAGGATGAGATTTCATTCTTATTAATAAAATGATTGTTTTTTTTTTAATTTATACAGTACTCTCGCCATCAGTTGCGACAGATAGAGTTTGTAGTTTGGGAACTGAGTAATTTTCAACATGGCCAGATCCTCCGTGAATTCGTGAATTAGTCCGTTCTAAGGTAGAAGGTGCTGATGGAGTATCTTGATTTACTTTTGGCGGAATTGGCGGTGGACTAGTCTGTATAAATAATTAATAATTAGCAATTATCTATATTTTTAAGAGAATAAGAAAAATTTTGTGTCCAGGTTAGTCATATTTAGACTACATTCGAAAATGCTCTATCTCTAGATAAATAATTAAGAAATGACCTTGTATCTTGTGAACTATTGACATTTTTAAAGATATAAGCTCACTCCGACATTACATTCATCGGGACCTTTCATTTGAGTACCCACATCAATTTTTCATATATTTATATATTATATATATGAATGTATGAAAAATATATATCAAAAATGCATGTGGGTACTCAAATGAAAGCTCTTGATGAGTGTAACATCGGGATGAGATTATATCTTTAAAAACGTCAATAGTTAAGAAAGTACAGTGCAATTTAACAATATTCATTATTTAATAATGCAAAATTTTAATTATTTATAGTATTGCAAAATTGCTAGTTATTATTATTTAAAAATATTAAAATTACCTCTTGATCTAATATAGTTTGGGATCCTTGGAATGTAGATGTTCTACAACTGATAAAGCTGCTAGTAGAAATATTCAGAGATTGATTTATCACAGAAGGCGATGAAATATTCATAATATCATTAGTCCTCGATCTAGGCTCAAAATCTTCGTAGCTAAGATTATTTAAATTAGACAAGTGTTGTTGAAAATCCAAAAAGCTGGTTGTCGAAATCCCCGAATCTCTCAAATCATTAGTGTCCCTTAAATTGGAAGAATCATTAGAATTGTTATCAACAATATCATCCTCAGTGCTCCAATCAGTATTCCGTCGCTGAGTAGCTAATCTTTTAGGAGGAGCTGGAGGTGCGGGTATCCCAACAACAATAGTTGCATTATTTGATTCACGTTTATCTGGAGTACAACCACGAGGTGGTAGAGGAGGAGCTTGTTCAGGTGAGGTTGATTCTATGTTAATTGTCGTTGTTGTAGTTGCTGTTGTTGTTGTTGTTGTTGTTGTTATTATTGTTTCTGTTGTTGATGGGGGTCCAGGTTCACTCCAAGAGATTCTTATATTAGCTATAGATCCTCCATCTTGCCCATCAGTCGGCGTAGGCAACGAGTGTCGAAGAGGTAACTTTGGACTGAGAGGCTTACTGAGTGTCCTGTGATGAGTTAGCCTTGGTGGTGTTGATCCGTAACCAACAGATCGGGGCCGTACTTCACGTTGTGGTATTGGAGGTGGTGTTCCATCAACTCTCGTATAAAATCCCTCGTCTTCTGGCAATCCATCACTGTCAGCATGTGATAATCTTGATCCTATAGTATCTAAAGTTGCTGGTCGTTGTTTATCATTATAACTATTATTATTACTATAACTACTACCATTATTATTATTATTATTATTGGTGTTATTTATCGGCAATGGTGGCAACGGTGAATTAATAATACTGTCTTGATGAATAGTACGTTGTCTTGTTAAATTACCCAGACTTTGTTTCAACTGTGTGAACCTTTCAATCAATCTTTTGTGAAGTGGTTGAACTCCTGGTGGTGCTATTTGTCCATGAAGAACAAGACCTGATTCGAGGACACTTATTTGATCAAGAATTAAATTTTTTAATTTATTAACATGTGGCAGCATTTCAGGATTCTGTCGAGAAAATTCACCAGTTAAAAATGCCTCTTGATATTTCGTTATTCCTCCCATAACATTAGCATCTATTATTCCCTGCAATCTCATGCTGAATGGATTGATATTACGATGTGGCTCGGCGGTATATTGAGCGACCAAACGACGCAATTCATTTTCAACGTTTTGCATTGTTTCACATGCATACTGGACTGGGGCCAATAATTCAGAGCGTCTTTCAATTACTTCAAACCAACGTAATATACCTGGTAATTTAGCTTCTGTGGTTAATGTTGTGCGTTCTATCCACAGTGATTTAAATTCATTTTCACGGTCAACTGGACCTCGGTGGAGCGGTCGATCAAATGTAAATTTACGTACGTCATTTACTAAATAAAATGCAACAACACGCTCTGGTATTTCTCCGACTGTACATGCCAAACTACCTTCCTCTGGTATTGGTTTAACATTACAAATTTGAATATCTGCGATAAAAAATAATTTATTAAATAATATATTATTAATAATAATTATTGAGACAACTTACATTGACCTTCAGCTGTTATAATACTCTCATCCGGTGGGGAATTTTTCATTAGTATTTGCGCACTTGGAAATTCTGTTTGAAGTCTTTGAGTAAAGGCACCTATTCTCTCATACTCCAAACCACGATAAATAAATAATTTGTTCTGTAATTTAATTTAAAAAAAAAAAAAAAAAAAAAAAAAAAGGTAAGTATTTACAAGTGAGGTCAACGATTTTAATTTTTATTTGATTTTATTGATATATTTTTTTTTTAAAAATGCATAAAAAAATGAACAATTAAAAAAAAAAAGTTGATTATCACAATTTTAACAAATTTTTTAGAAAATTATGAGAGTCAAAATTTTTTCCAACTTTCAGAGATGATTTTTTAGTTGAAATATTAATTTTTTGATATTTTCGATATTACCACCATAAACCCGCCGTAAAAACAAAGAAATAAAAAAAAAAATTATTATTTAAATATAATAAATAATTAATAATTAGTCAGCTTACCCGGACAAATAGTGGAAAACTGAGACCATAAAATCCAACACGAAAATATTCCGGTTCAGGTCTCAATTGTGTTAATATATTATCCAAAAATTTAGCTTGCATCTTCAAAATTTGACTGAGTTTTGCATAATCATACAAACGGGTTTCATAAAGCCCAGCAAGCTCTTTACAAAGTGGAATCCCTTTTTCCCAACATTTACCACGATCAAAATAATGAATTATTTGATAATAGAGGAGTTCCTTCCTTTGCCACTCGGCTTGTTGAGGATGTGCATGATCAGCAGGTAGTATAGTTCCGTCCCAACTTAATTGATCAGCATAAAGTTTCATCGTGAATCCCGCTTCGGTGTAATTTTCAGCTGCCAAATGGAGATCATGAAGCTTGTAAATGTATCGTAAATACATTTCCTTGCGGTTGAATTCATTCTTGTAAAAATTCTGCAGAAACAATGAAATAGGCCCCATAAATATTTATTATTTCACCAATATTGATATAAGAGCAATAAATTTATTAAACCACACTGAACAAGTATCTATTTAATAATAATTCTCTTTATATACTAACTGTAAAGAAACAAACTGCTATATATAGTTGACTTTCACGGTCAATTATCACTCGTTGCAATAAAATGAATTTAATGATCATAGTAATAATATTTATATTATTAACGTTAACATGATAATTGATAACAAATAAGAATATTGTTTCCTTACCAATAAATTGACCGTGCATGACATCCGTTTGTCACGGTTCTCGTCACCTTGTATAACACTTCGATAGTCTAAAAGTCGTTCGAGAAGCCTCGTAACTGAAGTAATAAATGCTGTTCCACTGTCTTTCCACGTTGGATCTTCTGATTGTACGCGATCTAATAGCCTTTAAACGACAAAAAAAAAATTCATACAAATAATTAATATAAAATTTTTTTTCTTTTAAATTGAAGATTGATATTGACATCTTTGTAAGTTGATATTGATATTTTTGGAGGACCAGCAGATAAGATAAAAAGTAAAGCAAAAAGGATGATTCTAAAATAACATTCTAGATTTACAAATAGTCATATTATCAATTATCAATTATTAAAATTTTTTTTTGTTTTTCTCTTCTCTCAAATCTCTTAAATCTTCTCTTTACAGATATTATTTACTGTATATAAATATTAAATAAACATTCTACATATGAAAATGTAATATATTATTGTTAATTGTTAATTGTTAATATTCAATTAAATATA